GGGGGGGGGGCGACATACAGCAAAGGGTTGCAAGCTGGAGTCGAAGTCGCGACTGCTGCAGCGAGGCATCACCTCTTTATCAAATCAGGAGTGAACAAATAATAATTTTCTGCCTTTATTCATTCAGCCTGGAGTCTGCTTTAATTAAATATTGGTCAAATTGTGTGCAGAACTGTAACAGTAAGAAGTGTATAAGGTTGTGAACTGTGTTTTCCAGTCAAATTCAATTTAGCCTAACTTTACATTTAAGCGTTATTTGGCCCTCTATTCAACAAGATAGCATAACATGGTTGGTACCAGTGGACGCCTCAGGTTCCTTAGTTTGATATGATACCTGTGTCTTCTCTTTGTCTAATGGCCCATTCACGTCTCTAGGATTACGTGATCTTTAAGTTGTGCTGATGATGGTCGTTTGAACGAAATGTTTTTCATTATTTAATGTTTTCAGGTTTTCTGTCCGTACTTTGGGCCGTACTTCCATCCATCCGATCCCTGTGAACACGATATCTCAAGAACATCTTCAGATTTGGCACAAATGTCTTCTTGGTTTTAACAATGAACTGATTAGATTTTGGTGGTCAAAGATCAAGGTCATTGTGACTTTGCATCTGTCTCATTCTTGTTAACACAGTGTCTCAAGAACACTGCGAGGGAATTTCTTCATATTTGGCACAAAATCTCTTGGACTCTAGGATGAACTGGTAAGATTTTGGTGGTCAAGGGTCAAAGGTCAATTACGTCAAATTTGGCACAAACGTTTCCTGTCTGTCTCATGTTTGAGAAGGCGATATCACAAGAACGCCATAAGGGTGTTTCTTTAAATTTGACACAAACGTTCACTTGGACTCAACACTGAACTGATTGGATTGTCAAAGATCAAGGTCAGTGTGACTTTGCATCTGTCTCATTCTTGTTAACACAGTGTCTCAAGAACACTGCGAGGGAATTTCTTCATATTTGGCACAAAATCACTTTGACTCCAGGATGAACTGATAAGATTTTGGTGGTCAAGGGTCAGAGGTCAATTACGTCAAATTTGGCACAAATGTTAACTTGGATTGAACGATGAATTGATGAGATTGTGGGGGTCAAAGGTCAAGTTCCCTGTGACCTTATCTGTCTCATTTTTTAGAAGGCAATATCACAAGCACACCTCAAGGGTGTTTCTGTAAATTTGACACAAACATTCATTTGGACTCAACAATGAATTGATTGGATTTCGTTGGTCAAAGGTCAAGGTCACTGTGACTCTGCATCTGTCTCATTCTCGTGAACACAGTATCTCAAGAACACCTTGAGGGAATTTCAGTAGATTTGGTACAAACATTCACTTGGACTGAAGAATAAACTGATTAGAATTTTGTTGTCAAAGGTCAAAGATCACTGTGACCTGTGTCTTCAGCAGGTTTTGTTTGCTAAACATTACTCTGCCTCACTCCTCACCTTCAGCTCTGTCATTCCTGCTGCTTCTCCACTTTTTTCCCTGACGTTTGTCCATCACCTCTCTGCTCCTTTCATTTTCTTGTTCTCTCTTACTTTTCCTTTAAGACCCCCAAATTTTGGTGATCTATTCTGACTTATCCAATCAGGCCGCAGTTCACCTCACATGTTTCTGTTAGTGGCACTGGTAAGTTCTGTGCACCGTGCACAGACTGCACCATTTCATAATACCTGTACAGGGTGGGAGTATCAGATAACAAGTTAAAATGTGCTTTAATTATAGAAATACATTTATTTATCATGTAAATACATTAACTTGTATTGGCATGGATTTTAAAAGATCATTTAAAGATCAACCATAGATGTTTTCAGGGGCCTCCTTGGCCTTGGGCTGGGGTCATCTGTACCCTTTGACCCCCCTGAAGACGTGTGTGAAACATCTTTATTTAGCCAAAAAACACACTTCATACCTTTCTATTAAATTCCCTCTCAGACTGGTTGGCGGAGGCAAACAACCACAAGGCCGTATCTCTAGTTTCGGGAAAAAAGGTATTGTTGCCAATGAGAAAAATCGGTGGACGTGACAGGTTTTGTTGATTTGCGTGTACTTGACCCTTAAGAATGAATCTATTTGTTGAAGTGGTTTCTTCATGAGGACTTTGTTGAGTGAGTAAATGTCACCTGTGACCCAGGCGTACAGGAACAGACACACACAGAAGTCAGCTTCAGTATCAATCAGGTGTTGTGTTACTAATCCTCTTTATTATGTCTCTGCTCGGCTTAAAAGACTGTCTGACCCCGACTGTCTCTGCTCTGCAGCTCTGAAGGTGGAAAAATTCTGATGTTCTGTTTGTGTGTCCTCTTTAACAGTTGTCACTCCGTCTCTTCCCAGCTCTGCAGACATCTCTGGAAGACATGACTAACTGTCTGTCTCACTTTCTGTCTGTCTCAGATCCAGCTGGTTGATGATGGGGCCGACACAACGTCTCCAGAGACGCCTGAGCCCGGCACTGGGAAGGTTCCCAAACGCGGTAAAGGCACACACACACACACACACACACACACACACACACACACCGATGAGTTCAGTTTGTCCTTGGTCATCATTCACCAGAGGTGTTCAGTATTCTGGAGGTGTGTGTGACAGTAAAAAAAATGTACTGATGTTGATTCTGACCTTTGTAAGATGGAAGTTGTCTGGGGGACGTGCTCGCTCCGAACATTAAACATGCAGTGTGAGAGCACGCAGGTAAACAAATCACCTTGTTGTGACTTTAATAAAAACAGAATCAGCTGATGCTGGGCGCTCTCTGGTCTCTGGTTTCTGGTGCAGCAGACTTTTGTAGCTGTTTCATCAGGACATTAAAACTGTTTCAGCTCTTGAATCCAGGCTTTTTTGGAAATAGTGTCGTGTGTTTAACTAAATTAAATCCCGTCCGGTAGCTGGTGATGTGAAACAGCTTCAACCATCTTACCTCCTCTCTCCAGATTGGCCAGCGCTCTTTGTCTAATACCGCTCCATGGCTGTACGTCTCCGCTCAAGCGTCTTTGAGTTTCTTGAAAAGCGCTATATAAATGTATCTATGTATTCTTATTAGTATTAGTATTAATGATAGCCCATTTATGTCTCTAGAATTACTCGATCTGCAAGTTGTGCCGACAATGTCCGTTGAACAATATTTTTATGGCTCCATGTCGATGATAGCCGCGGCTAGAGGCATTATGTTTTTGGGTTGTCTGTCCGTCCATCTGTATGTATATCTGTACTTCCGTCTGTCCCATCCTTGTGAACACGATATATCAAGAGCACCTCAAGGAGAATTTTGGACAAATGTCCACTTGGACTTAACAATAAACTAATTTGCTTTAGTGGTCAAGGGTCAAGGTAACTGTGACCTCATCTGTGTCATTCTTGTGACATGATATCTCAAGAGGGAATTTCTTTAAATTTGGCACAAACATTCTCTTGGACTTGAGGATGAACTGATCAGATTTTGGTGGTCAAAGGTCAAGATTGCTGGTTTCCAGTGAATGCAATGTCTAGAACAGCTTGAGGAAATTTCTTCAGTTTGGCACAAATGCTCACTTGGCCTCAACGATGAACTGGTTAGATTTTGGTTGTCAAAGGTCAAGGTCACTGTGGCCGTGTTTGTCTCATTCTTGTTAATGTGATATCTCAAGAATACTGTTAGGGAATGTCTTTAAATTTGGAACAAATGTCCACTTGGACTGAAGAATAAACTGATTAGAATTTAATGCACAAAGGTCAAAGGACAAGGTCAGTGTGACCTAATTTTGCACAAATGTTCCCCTGGACTAAATGATGAACTGACTGGATTTAAGTGGACAAAAGTCAGAGTCACTGTGACCTTGCATCTGTCTTTTTCTCGTGAACACAATATCTCATGAACACCTCAGGGAATTTCTTTTAAATCTGACACAAACGTCCACTTGGACTGAAGAATAAACTGATAGGAATGTTGTGGTCAAAGGTCACTGTGACCTCACAAAATATGTTTTGGGCCATAACTGAAGAATTCATACACTTAGTCTGACAAAACTTGACACACATGTCTAACAGGATAAAATAATGAAGGTCAAAAGGTCAAAGGTCAGCTTGACTGTGACATCATCATGTTTTAACGTCATATCTCAGGAACAGAAGGGGAGACATTTGGTCAGATACTGAATTGGTGACTCTAATCTTGAAACTGTGCTGATTGTATAGATCTTCTGTGTGTGAAGCATCCATGTTTTCACTGACATGGATGGAGACTGTCAGAGACACTGGACTGGTGGGCGGAGTCATACAACCACAGGGTGGACTGGTGGGCGGAGTCATACAACCACAGGGTGGACTGGTGGGCGGAGTCATACAACCACAGGGTGGACTGGTGGGCGGAGTCATACAACCATTGGGTATTTTGCACATAGAATAAATTGGGTTTTCCCTTTTTTTGTCAGTTTGCAGGTCATTTTCTCAAAGATTTCACCAAATCAGCCTCGTACCCTTAAAGGGACAGTTCACCCGAAAATCAATAACACATATTTCTCCTCTTACCTGTAGTGCTGTTTATCAGTGTACATGGTTTTGGTGTGAGTTGCCGAGTGTTGCAGATATCGGCCGTAGAGACGTCTGCCGTCTCTCCGATATAATAGAACTGGAGGGCTCCCAGCTTGTGGTGCTCAAAGAGCCTAAAAATACATTTGATTAATTAATTTTGTCCTGCAGCTGTTGCTGAAACTGAATTATGGTGTTATTACCTTGTTCTACCCAGAACAGCTCAAATAGGTTGCTTAATGTCCACAATAATTTCATCCCTCATCTTCTTGTCCAAAAAAAGACAAACACGTCCACAACAAACAGCTCCTGTTTACTGTGACGTGGGTCAAAAGATGTTCAGCAGACAGCCAGGTGACGTGTTGTTGTTGTTAAACCTGCAGTTTAGTTTGACTTTTACAAAACGTCAGCAGAGACTTAAAGGACCAGGAGTGCAGGCGGAGGGATTTAAACCCACAACCTGTGTGTGGCAGAGTTTGTGCAACATTCTGCTTCATCAGTGACTCATGAACAAAATGACACCAGACTCTGAAATTAGATATTTATTGAAGAACATTTATATATCAGGCCTTCAGCAGAAACTTTAAACCACCATGAGCTGCAGTGGGGGAGCAGGTGGGGTTACACGGCCTGACTTAAAGGAACAGTTCACACCAAAATCAAAACTGCATAAGCCCCGTCTCCACCAAACCCTGTGGAACCAACAGTAACCCTTCAGACATGGTACCTAGACCCTCGGTATGTTCAGACAGTCCTCTTAAATGTGGGCGAGGTTGTTGTCACTCACTGCTCCGTCCAGCACTCGCTGTATTTCCTCATCAGCGGTGACACAGATGGAAGTCTGCACCTGGTTTATCGTCCACAGAACGAGGCTGCACGCCCACATTTTCACAACAAAATAGAACAGGCTGCAGTGAGAGTCTCTCTCCATGGGATATTTAAAAATAGCAGCTTTGTGCATTTAGTCCTGCTCAGGCAAGCTCAGGGGTTTAGTGTTGCTGTAGCCCACAGGAAGTGAGGATTAGAATATATGACCTTCACATAATCCGCTCCAAATTAATCTATATTTTTAAAGTCATTATTAAAAGTGTGTGTCATATAAAAACTAAAGTGATGCTCAAAGTTGTCACAGTGAAATTTAAGGTGTGCTGATGGATTCACGTCATCAACTCATGCATTGAGTAACATTACAAGTTAACGTTCCACCTTAAAAGTTGCCGGCAGTCGACCCAGTGAATGAAGTTATTTTTTTCTCTTTCATTTTATAGTTGTAGTTTACTGATGTATGAACAGAGGTTACATAAAACCAGAGTGAGCGTCCTCTACTGACCAATCAGACTGCAGGGTTTCTAGCTCCACCTTTTAGTACCAGATCTGTGTGCTAGGTACCCCAACAGAGGGGGGACCAAACATGGGGACGCTAAGGAACCGTTCTCGTGGAAACGGAAAGAAAGCTGAACCTAACTGAACTGAACAGTACTGTTTGGTGGAAATGGGGCTATATTTTATCTTTCACCTGTAGTGCTATTTATCAGTGTACATAGTTTTAGTGTGAGCTGTTTGGTGTCAGAGATATCAGCTGTAGAGATGTCTGCCTTCTCTCCAGTATAACTGAACTAGATGTCACTCAGCTTGTGAAGCTCAAAGCGCCAAAAAATACATCTTAAAAAACTCAACATCAGTTTCTCTTTCCAGAAATCATGACCCAGTTACTCAAGACAATCTACTGACCTTGTTGCGAGCATCATGTTGGAACCATTTTCTTTCTACCAAACTACACCTGTTAACTGTATCACTGCACAGAAGGAAGTTTGCATCTACTGCTAGCTCACTTAGCATCACTGAGCTAGCTACAGTATCAGTCTCCTAGCTAACAGAGTTCCGAACTAGCATGTTCTTATTAGCAGGAGAAAGATTAAGCAAAGAGGGCGACACACCAAGCAGAGTGGTGACTCTCCCGGCTGCCTCAGAGAACATGTCAAAAATCTCAGTCCAGAATTTATTCAGAGAGGAGCAGTGACAGAACATGTGCATGGAGTTTGCTGGAGTTTGTTGACACCGATCACAGGAAGGAGACACTATTTCAAATATTTTTGCAAGTGGAGCTTTGTCACAGTAGGCTCGGTGCAGAGGGAATCAGACTGTGTTTAGCACAAGTACATGATCTGTGTACCCTCTGCAAAATCTCCTCCCAAACATCAGCCACAGCAGACTCTGCAGGGCCTGAGGAGAGTCTGAATAGAAAGAAAAAAAACATCAAGATCAGGTTTATTTAAAATCTCCTGTTTCCCACCTGATCAGATTTAAGAAATGATCACTGTATTATTTTCCTCTCTCTACTTCCAACACAAGAAAAATAAGTTTCCTATCCTCTCCACATCTGGTCACTGATATGTTTTGTCCTCTAGAGATGGAGCTGCACTCTGTTTCCATGGTTACGCCTCACTGCTGCAGCATCACCCAGGGGGTGGTGATGGTTAGTTGGTGCACTGTATTCAGTTTAGCAACGTCCTCTTTCTGGTGCAGAGTTAAAGTGGTGACACAGGTTAATGGACGACTGTTTCAGGAAGAGGCAAAGTCAGACTCACCCCTCTTCTTAGTTTGTACATCCTCGATTCCTTTCCTAGCATCCTCTCCTCACGTCTTAGTCCCTCCCCCCGAGATGAGAGCGGATGAGGATAGGAGGAGACACGAGGAGAGAGGAGTTGAGGCAACAGGTGTTTGACACAATGAGACAGCCGTTGTTCAGAGCTATCGTTCAAAGTGACATGAGATAAATATGACGTGTGTCACAGCTGCTATGAAGCTTCTTCTTATTTGTCTGTTATCTGCCTCCTTGTCTCCTCCGTCCTCTTGCCTGTGACCTGGAAATTGATGGGCCTTTGTATCCTAATATTCAGGCACATGCACAGATAAACCTCAGGTGGTGCTCAATCACCATTTGCCCTTTGCCCTCTGACTAGATAAGTTCCTTTATTGCAAGACATGTTTTTCTGTTTCTTTTCTTTTTAAATTTGACTCATGGCATCCATTGTCAGTTGAAAGCATGTTGTATGTCCCATAACTGCATTTGAGTCGAGCCCCTCCCTCTTTAACTTCCCCTGTCACAGTCACCACAGATAACGAACACAAATCGAGCGCCCTGCAGATCATCATCACGTCGCCCTGAGCTGCCTTCACTGACAGTCAGGTGACGACAGTGTTTGCCCTGAACCTCAGTGTTATTTGTCACTGTTGTGAAATGAGTCCACTATAAAAACATTTACAATACAACCAGCTGAATTTAGACAACAACCCTCCGTTGATCTTAAGAGCAAAGCTAGTCTGGTGTAAAACCACAAGTCTCCCTCCAACTCTCTGTCTGATTCAGGGTCAACAGCTGCCCGTGGCGAGCAGAGACGGATGCCACGCTGCTTTCCATCTTCCACGTGTGTTTAAAAACCAAAACTCAACCTGAAATATCGTTGACATCTCCCACACCACAGCTTTGATAATTCACGTGTTTTGGCGCTGCACAAAAATGTCGTGCGCAAAGAACACAAAGCCACAGCTGATGCACACATTCTCTGGGATTATTTAATTTGAGATTATTTAGAAGATAATTTTAAGAACTAGTATGTGACTATTTCAAAAGGAAGGAGGAGGAAAAGAAAATAAGAAGAGGAGTGGAGAAAAGTGAGGAGAGGAGAGCAGATTGGGAGGATTGGTTTGTTGATTATTTTATTAATTCAGAGAACAGCGTTTTTTTGTGTGTAAAGATTTGTTGATTGTGATGGTTATTGATTTTATAGATCACTAAAGTGTGCACAGTGTGACATTGTTTTCTTTGTTGTTTTCTGTGTTGTTGCCTGTTATGAATAAATGATAAATGTAGAAAGTGTGTGTGGCAGCAGCTGTGAGGTGTGCGTAGTACAGATCTTGAGACTCACAAATGTACTGAATGTACTTCGGCCTCAAGAGCTCTTCTGGTGCCGGCAGACACATAGAAACCTCCTGGCAGGGCGTGCCTTGCAAGGGAACAAAAAAACTTTGTGCATCCCCACATGCAAAACATTTTTGTGGAAGGGACCTGCCAGAGCATCTGCCCCAGAAATTTTTGGAGCACGGCACTGCTAATAATTATTGTAGCACTTTACATATAGTTTCCCAAGACACAGTTATTTTCTGCTCGTGCAGCCTTTTAACAGCTGACTGTGTCTGTAACAGCGTCGTGTTCACCATCTGGTGTAAAGACAATAAATCATGTTGACTTTAATCTGTTCGCACCAGGATCTTTGTGGGACTTTATACCTCGTAAAAGGCGACGATGATCATATGAAAACACGTCTCTCACTAACTTTCTTTCTTCCTCTGTTTTATCTCCTCAGAGATCCTGGAGACGCCCAAGTCCACTAAACTGGTGAGTCAGATAAAGACACAAAGTTCCTCTGCAGGAAATCAGGAGCAGATACACCAGCACACACCTGGACTGTTATAACACACACACTCACACACACACACACACACACTCCATGTTATCTAAAGTAAACCCTGTGTGTTTGTGTTGACTGTTGGAGGAAATAACGCCACACCTGTGCTGCTGTTTCACACTGAATTCATCCGTCTCTGAATCTCCGACTGCCTTCATCAAACAGTTCTTCCTTTTCCACAGGTTCTGTCTGAAGTGAGTGTGGGAAGATGATTCAAAGCTCTTTCATTAATATACTGACATTTTGTTTTCATGATCAAATACATTTATATCAGTCAATAAGGGACTGTTCTTTATTTATCAGGGGAGAGGCATGGCTGGGTGTGACTTAGGTTGTTGTGGGTTTTTTTTACCCTCCCTGAAGCTTACTCTTTGATGTTTGAAAATTAAAAGTTGGAGATGAAATCCTGGAGTTGGAAAAAGCCTCAGTTTTTCATTCTTGTCACGTAGACAATTTATTTTGGGGCAAATTTTAGATGAGACAAATGATTTTGATGAAATATCACTATTATAAGATCAGATTTGGTGATGTGTTTTTTCCTGATGGAAGTCATTTCAACTTGTATGCCACTCCCCTAAACCAAAGTAGAACAACTTAAGTTCCTCCCCACTGCTTCAAAAATTATTTGACATGCCCCACCCTTTTTGCACCCCCCCCCCCCCCCCCCCCCCCCCCCCCCCCCCCCNNCCCCCCCCCCCCCCCCCCCCCCCCCCCCCCCAAATAAGGAACAGTCCCTAACATGTTATAATTCAGTCTAAATTAGAATAAATTGAAAGTTCTCAGTGCATTAAATGTAGTTTTTATCTGTGACAAGGACGTAGGGACACGTGAACATCTGCAACTTAAAAACAGTTTATACATGACTGTAAAAGGATGGAGAACAATCTGGAAGAATCTCCGTTTAATACACATGATCTTCCTCCATAAGTTAGAAAGACAGATTTCAAACTTATATTGGCATGAAAATTAATTTTCTTTTACATAATGTTAAATAATCTCTGAAATTGTGAGTTTACTAAATTAAACAAACTGTGCTGCTGAACCAGTTCACATCTGAAGGTTCAGTTTCATATCTGACCAGCAGAGGGTGATGTTGACTCATAAATACACTCACTGTGATCTGTGATGGAGCTACAGATAATTTATTTATGCGGTGAGTTCCCCTGAGATCAGTCAAACCTTTTAAATTAAATAATGTAGGACGTATTTATTATTGGAACATTTTATTATTATTAATATCTTATTATTCCTTTGTTATTACTCTGGGGATCTGTGTCAGACATTTAAAAAAAAATCAAATACATAACTCCAAGAATTTGATTTAGCAGTTTTGCTGTTGTGCTCACAGGAAGTACAAAGTTTACAGTCGAAGCACAGGATTAAAAAACAACTTGTCATCATGTTTGACCACCACAGCTGGAAAATTCTCAACTCTTAAAATTTGACATCAGAGCTAAATTTTAAATGTTTTTATTAATTTCAGATTTTATATTCCAGAACTTTCAGCAGACAACAAATAAATCAAGAAAACAGAACGTACAGTGTGAACGACTTCTTTGAACACATCAACGAGAGGAGACGCATTTTAAAAACTGGAAAAGGACAAACAATTTCTAAAACCACTAGAGGCAGTCGTGACAGATAGAGAACAACACTGCAGCACAAGCAGCAGGATGTTCCATGTTGATTAAACGCCCACCTTCAACAGACAACAGAGATTTTATTTTTTGAAGTTTAGTAAATGCATCAAATGCAAAATGTAAGCAGTATTTATAAGAAAAGAAAAGAATAAACAAGTTCAGAAACTTCATGTCCTCAGAAATGATTCATTCACATGATCATCTGATAAATCTGACAACAGATATTTTTCAGGTCCAAACACCATAAGTTAACTTTTAATGAACTGTTCAGTTTTTCTGAGCTCAGTTTATGATGGATTATGATGTCAGAAATACAGGTTAATAGATGTTAATATACTGTAACTGCAGCTTTATTTTCAGATGCTTAAATCTCAGTTGAACACTGATCACTGTGAGTTTATCACGTCCAGTCAGGTCTGAATGGACACGGGTTTAAACAAAAAAAATAAAAAAACAAACAAGAAAGCTTAAAAATTATAATAATTCTGTCACATATTTTTAAATATATAATAATTATAATTACAAACATAGTTTTTCCCCAGCTTTTTTTTCTAGCTCTTTAAAAATAATTTTCTAAATCTATTAATTTTTTTTTTTCTTCAAATTGCACCAGTTTACTCAGGGTTCAAAGGTTTGAATAATTGTGTCTGAGAGCAGCTCAAGAAAAGTGATGTCACTCCAGGTTTCAAAGGGTTAATATTTTATAAATACAAGAGCTCTTGGTTCACTTTTTTATTAGTTTGTCCTGTTAAAAAAAAACACGCACACAAAAGTGAAAATAATAATAATAATAATAATAATAATAACAATAATTATTTCATGGAGCTCTCAATGTGTCGCGTATTTTAGGGGGAAAAACAAATCCAGTAAATGCAGAAGATTATGTGTCGTATCATGTTTAGGGTTAATCGCTTTGAAGAGAGAATATTTCAAAGCACATCAGTCATTTTTGACACATTTTTAAAGTATTCAAAATGTATTTTCCAATTATTTTTATTAAGCCAAAAAAAGGAATTACATGTACAGTATCATGCTGCAGCATCAGCGCTCGTTTCATTCAGTTCAGAGTTTTTAAATAATAAGTTCTCAGCTGCAGGAAAACATGACCATGAAAACAGGACAAAACATCAGTGCAATAATGCGCTAAGTAAATAAAAGTAGATAAATAAAATAAAATAACATAAAAAACAACAAAAGAAACTAAGTCTCTGTACAGGTCTTCCTTAATCTCCTCTTTTCCCTTCTCCACTACTCTTGTCTGTGTGTGACACATTTTTAATCGGGTTATTTTGCAGTTTGTGTGAAAACACACTGAGTGAAGAAATGTGTGTGTGTGGAAGTGAAATGATGATGTGACAAAATGTGCAGCACCAGTGAAGAGCGCCGACTCACCACGGTCCCTCCGTCACCTCCAGCATGCCGCCTCTGACAACTCTCTGATCTTTAACCTCCACCTTCCCGTCCTTCCTTCCTCACTTCCTTCCCTTCTTTCCTTCGACCACGCAGCGAGGAGTGAAGCCCAAAAAGGTGCTGCATGTTTCTCTAACCTCGGTACAGTGGTAATGTTATGGTGGTGACTGTAGTAACCGTGGTAACCGTGGCTCTGAATGGCCTCGCTGCTGCATGGCAACCGGGCCTCATCCCTCATTTTACCCATGATCCCTCGCAGCTCACCACACCGCCATCTGTGGTCTTGTCACCGAGCTGCTCTGTGTTGATGTGAGAGTGAATGGAAGAGAGAGCTGGCGCCTGTGTCCACTTCCTGTCACATGACCTCTGACCTCACCACGCCCTCTGCTCTGTGGCACCTGATGTGTGTTTGTTTGTCTGCTGTCATTTTAAAGCATGCTGAAGTCATCATGGCGACAGTTTCCTGTGTCATTACTGACACATGTTTAATGATCATCGTCTGGAAGTTTTACCACATGATCTTTTTATTTGTTTATTCTTTCAAAATCCAGAGAACGTTTTTGGTGTGTGGTGTCAGGAGGAGCCCAGGTGGAAACGTACTTGGATGTTTCCAGGGCGTCTTTAGTGTCTGTGCTGTGACGTATTTCCCAGTAAACGGAATATTTGAGCAGTGTACACTTATAGGAGAGATTTAAATCAAAGCCTTTGCAGTTGATCGTACTGTCATAAAGTGGGCGGGGTCAGAGCGTAGCACCATAAGGAGCTACAGAGGACTGTTGGCCCTCACCGTTAGATCAGGAGGGAGAGAGAGGGAGAGATGAAGGAATTCCCCACAGTGTTTTTGGAAATTAAGACAAAGGTTTTGCCCACTGATAAACACACATCTCTTCCTGTCTTTGTCCAGCATCGTCACATAGTACTTACTGCATCCAGTGTTTTTGTTGACAAAAACTTTTCATCAAAACCTTTTTTTCATGACAAAAACCAGACAATGACGAGCTAAAAATAGATCTTGATAGTGAAAATTAGGAAGAAATCTGTGTTTCATTTTCATTGTTGAGACGAGACATGATGAAAATGTTCGTGGTGGACTATCGGACGTTGAAAGCTGAGAACGGCTGTGCTTGTAATTATCTTCAAATGCCGCATGAGCAACAGCCTGGTAAACTCCAGTAAATAGTCTGCACCAGGATGTTTCCGTTGGTGCAAGTTGTGAGCTGTAATTCAGCAGTAAATAATCAGCCGTGTGTGTCTGACTGTGGATGGTGGAGCTGCTGAATGGATTTGTGGAGCGGTGGCTGTTAGCAGCTAGCTCCACTTGTTAGCCACTGAACAGCAGCGGAGCAAGCAGCCATCAACAGAAATTTAATCGTCTTTGTCACCCAAACATCTGCAGCTTATTACAACCCATATTTACGTTATTGTCAGACAGCGACCGCTAGTGGCTGTGGCCATTATGACAGGAACAAAGGAGGAAGTCAGGTGACAGACGGTGCTTCTCAAACTTAAGGAAGGATCCTTAAACAGCTGAATGTCAAGGAGGCTACATCATCAAATCCCACTGAAGGACAAGGATCCTTTGAATTCAACTAAGGACAGAGTTCTTCTTTCAGAGAATTTTCAAGGATGCATGTGTGTATCCTCAGCAGACATGAAGTACCCACAACTCTTCAGTGATCCACACCTGGGTGCACGGTAGCCTGTTCCAACGTGTGTTCACCGAGTGCGAGGAAGGAGGCTTGCCTAGTCTCTGTAGGACCCGATTTAGAAGGACACGTCCTACCAAGAAAGGATCCTTGACTTTGAGAAGCACTGAATCTGTCTCATGTGCTTCTTTTAAGATACAGAGACAGTTTCAGTGAATATGACACAAAGTTATTATTATCATAAAAGTTATCAACTGTACCTTTAAAGCCCTGATGTGTAGAATTGTTCCAGTTATTCTAACAGGGCAGTTTGAAGATAACAACAGAAAATCCCATTTAAATTTAGTTAAGTTCAGTTTAAGTGTTGATTTCAGCCCATGTTGGATAAGTGGATGGCAGCAGCACGCGCCCAGCTGGACACAGACGTCGTTCAATGTTGATACTTGGTTGAGTTTAGGTTGTGACGTTGGGTGACCAGGAGTCAATGTCAGGACAGCATCCTGTGTGACACATCCTACCAAGGAAGCATCCTTGACTTCGAGAAGCACTGATAGTATAAAGAGTGACAAAGTTTGGACAGGGAGGAAGTCGGGGAGGTTGAATGGGTCAAACAAACACAGGACTTTCACTCAGGAGACCAGAGTCAAACCAACGTCAAGTCAACATAACAAACACAACAAACCAAACCATGATCTCTCTTTAAATCCTAACCACATAGTTTTGGTGCAAGTGTTGCACCTGTCGCTGGTGCTCTGCAACGGTCTCATATGTCGTTTAGGTGTGAGAATGTGTTGCATTTATAAAGCAAAAATACAAAACATTTCCTGTTTTCTGCCTCTCAAAGTGTTTGGATTTGAATCTTTTCTCTGTTTATATGATTGTAAATTAAATATATTTTGGTTTTGGAGCGTTGATCAAACAAAACAAGGATATTTCCTGATATTTTTAGACACAAATATGATCAATTTATTGTAAAAATCAACAGATTGATACTGAAACTAAAAATGTATCTGGCTGTTTTTGGCTGGATAAGGACAGTTTAAACCTTCCTGCTCTTGTCTGTCGTCATGAATTTAGTTTAAAAAATTACAAGTTTTAAATAACAAAGAATGATATAAAGCAGTAACACATATTTTTATGTTTACCTCTAAATCCTTGTTGTTTAATTTTTTATCCCAGAGACACCTTGGTTGTGTCGTTGCAGCTGGAGATAATTTATTCTGAAGAATCCGACATTTCTAACAGCCTGTGGGTCCAGAATATAAAATAGTTTTACACTCTTATTTTTCTCTCTTGTTAGGTCCTCCTGGCTCCACACTGGCATTTAGTCTGACCATGAGATCCAGTTTCAGCTGAAGATAGATTGAACGAGACATCATAAGAATATAGAGACAAAATACAATACGTTGTGACTTTAACATTTAATGTTGAGCCACCCGTAGATTCATCATGAAGTCTGTGCCGACGGTCCAGTGCTCTTTAACAATCATCCTCCGCTGAGTCATACGTGCAGGCGTTCCTCTTGATAAATGTCAGACTGTGACCGAGGTGAAGTGAGCCGCCCTCCCGCCTGCAGAGAACAGACCTGCAGAATAAAGATTTCCTGTCAGCTCGGCTCTACTTTATCCTGCAGAATAGGACGACTTTAAACCTCAGCAGCTCAGTTCAGTCCAAACCTTGAGGTCTGAGTGTTCTCTGTTCTGCAGATCTGACCGAGGGATGTGGTTAAATGTTAGAGTGTGCAGGAAAATGTGAAATTAGATGATGGATCCAAGTTACAGACAAGACAGAAAATATTAAGGAAGCACAGGCTGTTCTAAATGTGACTTTTAACTTCAAAGTTTAAACTAAGTCTTATGTCGTCATAGAGAGGTCAGTTTGTCTCACATCGTAACTTTTCCTGACAGCAGAGTGTTATAAATATACATTTTTTTGGTGCTGACAAAAATAAAATTAGTGAGTGGGACAAAACAAGTCTTCAGACCCATATGACCCATACATGATTTATTCCTACCGTCGAGATAAACATGATTTCAGCTACACCTCTGTTTGCACATGAGAGCTGCCTCACGTCCTCAGAAATTAATGCTATGCATCCACAAGATGCAATATGCACATGAACGGTAGGGGTTTGATTTAGAGGTCTTTAAAGGCCCACGATGGCACCACTGTCGCTTTTTCTGCTGTGATCTCAGAACTAACAATATAGGAGCCTCCTGGAGTGTTGCCATATGTACTGTCAGTGTTGGAAGGATTACTCTTATTTCACTACGGATCAATAAATACACGCCCTATAATGTAATTTGTAACGTATTCTGTCCATCCATTAGATTAATGCTTTGGATTACATGCTGAACTCATTTTCCTGGGTCTTATATTTCCAGGCTAAAAACAGTGTCCTGACTTTTCATCTCCTCTAACATTGTCCCTGTTTAAAATCTGTTTATGGGAAACCTGCCACATGACGTTGAGTACCCAACGTGACATTAGATTTGTAACTTTAAACAACTTGACAACATTGACTTTTAGTTTCTCTTCTCTCCTGGTGCTAAAGTCCTGGGTTTTTTGACCAATCAAACTATTCCGACAAGAACATATAAAAACAAATTTGAAAAAAAAAGATGGCCGCTGTGGCACAAAGCCTCCTCGAATGCGGAAGTGACTCCACACCTTTGTGACAATCTCAGGTCAGTTATTAATATGGGTTCTTATCTCCTGCTGGATCAGCTGCTTGTCTGGCGTCCACTTCAAAATGGGGCATGAGATGGATCAGTGGTTTGGTCCGTATCTGCAGTGATGCAGGTGCTACGTCGGACCTTTGTGGAGAAGGATTCAAGGATTCAAGGGAGGGAGCTGAACCAGAAGGCAAAGCTTTCGATTTACTGGTCCATCTCTGTCCCAACCCTCACCTATGGTCATGAGCTCTGGGTAGTGACTGAAAGAATGAGATCGTGGATACAAGCGTCTGAAATGAGTTTCCTCTGTAGGGTGTCTGGGCTCAGCCTTAGAGATAGGGGGAGGAGACAGACATCTGGAGGGAGCTCGGAGTAGAGCCGCTGCTCCTTCATGTTGAGGTGGTTCAACATCTGATCAGGATCCTCCTGGGCGCCTCCTGTTAGAGGTGTTAAAAGCATGTCCCACTGGTAGGAGGCCCCGGGGCAGATCCAGAACACACTGGAGGGATTATATAACTCATCTGGTCTGGGAACACCTTGGGATCCTCCAGGAGGAGCTGGAAAGCATTGCTGGAGAGAAGGACGTCTGGGGTGCTTTGCTCAGCCTACTGCCCCCGAGACCCAGCCCCAGATAAGCGGGTGAAAATGTGGACTTTGTCACTCTTTATACTGCGTCTCCTGACTTCCTCCTTTGCTCATAATTACTACAGCCCTTCGAGGTTGATATCTAGCAATAAACGTAATTGTGGATCGTATAAAGCTGCTGAACAATAAACCTGTGGTGTCGATTTTTGGAGGAGGACTGTCTCGGACAAATTCATTTAACTTACTTCAGATAACTTACTATGAGTTTTGTGCTCATTCTGCTGTCGTACGCAGTAAACTTCTTCAGTATCTGAGTGTCATGTCTCTCTCGGGTTTCCTCGTGTACGTGAAATAACAGTCAGTGTTTTGCTCAGTCAGGAGCCGAGCGTGCTGGGTGATGCTGCGTCGCTGCTTCCTGAGCTGTAATTTTATCCCCTTGTTGTCCTGCTGGAGAGCCGTGACCTCAGAGGCGGCGATTCTCCCTGTGTGTGCTGGGAAAGCAGGAACTCGATACATCTCCACCCATCCCATCATCCTCTCTGTCTGTCTCTCTCCATCACCTCAGCGGTGGATGAGGACGTCCTCTCAGAGCAGCACTTAGTCTGTGTGGTGGAGGGAAAGTGAGCGGATTACAGAGAGACGTTTAATATTTTAACAGAACAGATTTCCCTGCGCTGCTCTGTAATGGATACACGTAAACAGTTTTCTTTCTGCTTCAGCGGCCTGAACTGAAGTTCTGCCTCTGTCCTCATAATAATCTGTTCTACTAGAATCACTTCACAGAAACTCAACCCTGCCTGCAGTCACTATAACCTCATTGGGTTTCATCACAGCCATCTCAGATTACGAACTGCCCGTTTTCATGCCCACATTGTGAAAGTATTTCAGGTATAAAGCTCGCAGCTAATCAGAGTATCCCCATTGAATTAATCCTCTTACATCCCTCTCTCTTCCTGCTGAGCTGTTGGTGCAGAGACGGAGATTAATGGAGCTGAGGAAGATATTACGAAAGCTACTCCAATGGCTTGAGGAATGATCTGACCTATTAAATCACTTATACTTACAAAACAATCAGTGTTATGTCTAAAGCTCCAGGCCAATGTTTTGTTTGAGTCTTAGCAGTGGCTGCTGCGATACTCCATGTTTTAACTCATATTAAGGATTCTCCTTTATTAGGAGTCACCAGTATAGAACAAATATGACTGTTAGAAACAGGCAATGTGAGACAATAAAATTGTCACCCATCAAATTTTTTTTTAGCAACCAAACAGGGATGTTTTTCCAGCCTGGATAGTGCCACCAAAAACAGTTTTATAACAAAGACATTGCTGCTTTCCCTGTTGGGATTGTGCCCCCAAAACCAGGTATTTTAAACCAAAACACGAGCTTTCCTTGTCTAAGGTAAGGTTTAGTCACTGTCAGGCTTTTGTCAGCCTGTCAGTGAAGGTTAAAAGGTTAAATACAGAAGTTAACCTGTAAAGCTAGGGTTGGAAATCTGGAAAAAAAACCACATAATTCAAAAATCCCCCTTTTCCACAGCTCTCCGCTCTCTGCCCCAAGCCCCTCCCACCAGACAGTTACGGGCGTAAGCACGTGTTTCATACGTTATATTATATAATTTCTTGTCCTGATCTGTCTCTGTTCATTAGACCACAAATGAGACAACAATTAGCTGCTAGCTAGTCTCGCCACCAGACAATCAGAGATCTCCACCTTCTGATAGTCTGGGGACACTCCTTTCTAAAGTGTGTTTAACACACTGGCGAAAACGGCCGGCAACAAAGCAACGCCTCTTGCATTTTTGAAAAGGACACGCCTACTCGGAAATGTGCGCTCCTCCTTTTCTCGTCCGCAAGGAAACAAACACACAGAGAGCTTGAAAATGGATGCCGAGAGATTAATCTCCGTTTTATCATCCGTGAAGAAAATATTTTTTCCAGCGGATGTCTTAGTTACAACATGATTGAGCTAACTGGAGTAGTTTCATGTCGTATCCGACAACGGGAGCCTTTTAACAGATGATGTCCTGATGTTAGCTTTGCTGCTGCTGTTAGCTGTCCCTGTCAGCGGCAGCCACTGATGCTTTCTAGACATCGTGATTTCCCAAAACTGAATAAATACGACACATAGCAACACAAAACTGCTTTGCTAGCTCAATCATGTTGTAACTAAGATATCCGCTGGAAAAGATATTTTTTTCATGGACCGTTTAATGAGTTAACGGGCTAACGGTTAGCCCAGCTAAACGTGCACACATAAATAGTAATGTTTGTTCAATCATTGTGTTTATAGACTTTACAAACATCGGATTAGTCCAAACGGTGATACAGTGATGTGAAAAATGTGATATATAGGCTATATATATATATAGCTAAAAGCTCTGCTGGTTTTCTACCCGGACTATAGAGGCAATCGCCTTGTTGTTTACAAGGCGATTGCCTCTATAGTAAAAAGATTATGTTTGTTTCTTTTAGTTGGCGAGAATGTGTCGCCGCAAATGCGACAAGCATTCACTAACTTTGACGGAGTTTTCTGCGAGCATGGCTGAGCCATTTTGTACCGCTACACGTGTTTCTAGTGGGACTGTGTTTACAAGCACAAGAGTTCAGCGAGCCACCGAAGGACTGCCCTGCAGATTTACCATTGGTTCTGCAACGTAGGGAGTTTTTTTAAACTCTGAAATTGTATCCGCCCATCTAAACACAAAATCAGGGAGAAAGTCATCAGTCTTTAGTTAAGCAAAGCGTCTAAAGACTGACTTGTGAGTCTAGCTGCTAGCCAACCCACAGTCTCTCCACCTCGCTCCCCACCGCTGAGGGTTGCTTCTCCAGCAGAAATGGGGAACGATGGACCTTTGGTCAGCAGCTGTAGTGGCTTAACTTCAGCAAGCGCAAACCCCTCAGTGCCGGGTGTCACAGCAGGCAGTGCTAGGTCTAACCTGTGTAACAGCAGCAACAGAAAGTTTGCAGAGCCGGTGGGGAGTCGTGGCTGTCTGTTCCCCTGGAGCTGGGATATGAGCTGGCTGGATTTGGGTTGCTCCAGCCGCTGACTGGGGGTCCGTCTCCAGAGCTGCTGCCCGCTCTCCTCCTGGTGAGGTGTTCACTAGTGGCGGAGGACACACTGCCATTTGAGGCTCTAGCTAACGTTAGTCTCAAGTGCTATATCGTAGGCAGCTGGACTGGCTTTAGTTTCTTGAAGACGTTTCGCCTCTCATCCAAGAGGCTTCTTCAATTCTAACGGAGCTGTGCAGAGTCTTTAAACTCTGTGTGGGTATGAACCCTTACAGAGTCGTTAAGGTCACATGTGAGTCGTTGACCCACCCGGCCATCTTGTGCACCATCTAGCCAATGTTAGCGACATAAATGTGAACTTGAAGCTGCAGCCGTGAGCCTTTGGCTCCATTTAGCAGAAGGCTAAACTATAAGCGACATTTTCTCTCCGACTCTGAAACGCTTCGCTGATATTGACACGAGTCAGACTCCTTTAGACTCTGTTTGATCAGTCCATCTCCCCTTTTTTGGGTTGCTTTACAGTGTAGGCAGTCGTTTCAAATGCTGGAATAGCAACTTTCTCTGCAAATTCTCCATCAGTGAATCACGTTTTCACCATCTGAAGGAACGTGCATGCACATCTGCATTTGGAGAACAGCCAATAGGAACGCCCTCTCTCTGAAATGACCCTTGACTGGCCAAAGTCTCCCATCACAGACTAGATTTTCTGAAGCTTGAAAACAGAGCCAAGAGGAGGTGCAGAAGTCTAGTTTTCTCTCAGACCACTTAAATTTCATATGCTCAAAGGTTATGATGAGATTTTGCCCAGTGATGCCAAAATTAAACCACCTGCTGCAGCTTTAACAGGTGAGACTGTTGAAAACGGTTAAAATGAAGTAAAAAGAAAACATACAAATTAACTTTGTTCCAGAGTGAAGGTGCAGCTGATTAAAATAAAATAAAATGTTTCGAGGCACATGCATCTTAAATGTCTTTAATTGTTAATGAGGATCAGGTGTCCTCATTGTTTGTGTCAGCCTCATTTTAATGAACCCAGAGGAGGGCTCTGCCGCTGTTGCTAGGAGACAGGAGAGGCTTGCATCAGCGTTGCTGCTCATTTTCTCCTCTCACCTCCGTTTACAGCCCCGCCCTCCTCTGTCTCACATCCTCTCCTCTGTCTGTCCCCCAGTCACACACCGTCTCACCCATCCACCCCCCCACCTCCTCCCACCCTGTCTGTCTGTGGTGATGAGTGGGTGGAGGAGCAGCGAGCAGGGGGAGGAGGGGAGGGAGGGCGAGAGGGAGGAGGCTGCACAGTGATGTAATGCCGGAGCCGGGCATTGGCTGGGCTGACAAATCACAATAAGCAGAGTGAGAAAAAGGGGGGAAATGAGACAGGAGGGGGGAGGAGGAGGGAGGTTAGGAGAGGCGAGGCGTCTCCTGTGAGCAGAAGCTGGTCGGAGGCTCTCAGCAGCAAGATGTCCGAGTCGTAATCAGAGCAGAAAGGAACGGGAGGCAGCGACCGAGGGCTCCGGCGAATGGATTATGAGAGAAGCTGAGAAGGAGGACATAAAGGAGGACGCTAGCAGGAGGACAGAGGAAGGGAGGGGGAGCCTGGGAAAAAATCGCTGCGGCCATTTGCACCACTGCAGCTTCCCGGCCTGAGTGGCTGCCTGTCTGTCTGCTTCAGCTGTCTGTCTGTCTGTCTGTCCTGGTCTCTGTGGATCGAGCATCTTTACCTGTTTTATCACCTTCCTGTTTGTGTGTGTGTGTGTGTGTGTGTGTGTGTGTGTGTGTGTTTCCTGGTGACTGTGTTTGTGTGTGTGTGTCTTCTTCTCTTGCCAATATGATGAGACAGACTCCTGCACCCCGGAAGGTACAGAACTCCATATGATTATCTGTTGGGATGTTGTTGTTGTCACCATCCATTTGTTTTGTTGGCAGAGCTGCTGTAAAGGTCATGCTGGAAGTTTCAGTTATTTCTCTGTCATTTTATTTTGAAGGGACTTGCCCTTTCATTTTCCTCTCTAGTGATACTCCCAGTGTGGATGAAGAGGTGCACCTGCAGTTTGCTGTTTCAGTTTATTTCTCCTTCAGTTTTGATTTCTGCAGATGTATTCCATGTGTGTGCAGAAGCTTTTTAAATTCCGCTCTTCAGCTTCTCTGTTTTATTTGGCCTCATCCTGCAGCAGCGTTTTCACACAGCGTCTTTACGAGGTCAGTGATTTTTGTTGGGAGAATCAAATGATTTCACTCTCGGCTGCAGATGTAGTGAACAGGCTGATGTGATTTCAGTACAGCTTGTTCTCATATCTACAGCGCGACACCGTGGCTTAAGAGGGCTGTCAGCTCTTATTTGGTACAGCTGTTAGCTCGGGCTAATTTCTGCTGAATGGTCCGGCTCTAATCCAATAAAGAACAATAACTAGCCAAAGCGACGGCCGTGCCCAAGCAGGAGCAAAGAGAGACAGAGAGTCAGTGTGCAAAAAGGACAGGAGGAGGTAAAGTGAAGAGTAGAGGAGGAGAGTGACTTCAGATCAGTGTGCAGGAACGTGAAGAGCAGCAGAGTAGAAAGTGTCTGCACAGACTTGAGTTACACTGTGTTCAGATAACTACAAGAACAAGACTCACCTCGATATCAAAGTACATTTACTCACCTCTGAGTCTGAAGCTGTTCGATATATTTTAAGATATAATATTGAACTTTTTCGCATAATTAAATGTCTTAAAACAACCAGACCAGTGTTGTATTCAGCAGAGTTGTGTAACATTATCCCAGATGTTTCCAACGATGTTCAGACCCTGAGAAATCAGTCATTTTAATCAAGGACACGATCCATGTCATATGGTCGGCCTGTCAGTGGCATCATTTCCCCTTTAATCATCAGTCAGGGTGGTGGTTGTCTGATAGAAGCTGTCATAAATTTACTTTTTATCCAGTTTCAAGCCTCATTTTTAGATCTTTTTAGATTTTTTGGGACATTTTCCCTTCATTGAAAGCACAGCTGAAGATAGAAAGGAAAGATGGGACAGAGATGGAGGAGGACGTGCAGCAATCAGGGTTGCAATCAAATCTGGGCTGCTGCAAAGGACTCAGCCAATATGGGGCGTACGCTATCAGGTTAGCTANTTTTTAAACTCTGAAATTGTATCCGCCCATCTAAACACAAAATCAGGGAGAAAGTCATCAGTCTTTAGTTAAGCAAAGCGTCTAAAGACTGACTTGTGAGTCTAGCTGCTAGCCAACCCACAGTCTCTCCACCTCGCTCCCCACCGCTGAGGGTTGCTTCTCCAGCAGAAATGGGGAACGATGGACCTTTGGTCAGCAGCTGTAGTGGCTTAACTTCAGCAAGCGCAAACCCCTCAGTGCCGGGTGTCACAGCAGGCAGTGCTAGGTCTAACCTGTGTAACAGCAGCAACAGAAAGTTTGCAGAGCCGGTGGGGAGTCGTGGCTGTCTGTTCCCCTGGAGCTGGGATATGAGCTGGCTGGATTTGGGTTGCTCCAGCCGCTGACTGGGGGTCCGTCTCCAGAGCTGCTGCCCGCTCTCCTCCTGGTGAGGTGTTCACTAGTGGCGGAGGACACACTGCCATTTGAGGCTCTAGCTAACGTTAGTCTCAAGTGCTATATCGTAGGCAGCTGGACTGGCTTTAGTTTCTTGAAGACGTTTCGCCTCTCATCCAAGAGGCTTCTTCAATTCTAACGGAGCTGTGCAGAGTCTTTAAACTCTGTGTGGGTATGAACCCTTACAGAGTCGTTAAGGTCACATGTGAGTCGTTGACCCACCCGGCCATCTTGTGCACCATCTAGCCAATGTTAGCGACATAAATGTGAACTTGAAGCTGCAGCCGTGAGCCTTTGGCTCCATTTAGCAGAAGGCTAAACTATAAGCGACATTTTCTCTCCGACTCTGAAACGCTTCGCTGATATTGACACGAGTCAGACTCCTTTAGACTCTGTTTGATCAGTCCATCTCCCCTTTTTTGGGTTGCTTTACAGTGTAGGCAGTCGTTTCAAATGCTGGAATAGCAACTTTCTCTGCAAATTCTCCATCAGTGAATCACGTTTTCACCATCTGAAGGAACGTGCATGCACATCTGCATTTGGAGAACAGCCAATAGGAACGCCCTCTCTCTGAAATGACCCTTGACTGGCCAAAGTCTCCCATCACAGACTAGATTTTCTGAAGCTTGAAAACAGAGCCAAGAGGAGGTGCAGAAGTCTAGTTTTCTCTCAGACCACTTAAATTTCATATGCTCAAAGGTTATGATGAGATTTTGCCCAGTGATGCCAAAATTAAACCACCTGCTGCAGCTTTAACAGGTGAGACTGTTGAAAACGGTTAAAATGAAGTAAAAAGAAAACATACAAATTAACTTTGTTCCAGAGTGAAGGTGCAGCTGATTAAAATAAAATAAAATGTTTCGAGGCACATGCATCTTAAATGTCTTTAATTGTTAATGAGGATCAGGTGTCCTCATTGTTTGTGTCAGCCTCATTTTAATGAACCCAGAGGAGGGCTCTGCCGCTGTTGCTAGGAGACAGGAGAGGCTTGCATCAGCGTTGCTGCTCATTTTCTCCTCTCACCTCCGTTTACAGCCCCGCCCTCCTCTGTCTCACATCCTCTCCTCTGTCTGTCCCCCAGTCACACACCGTCTCACCCATCCACCCCCCCACCTCCTCCCACCCTGTCTGTCTGTGGTGATGAGTGGGTGGAGGAGCAGCGAGCAGGGGGAGGAGGGGAGGGAGGGCGAGAGGGAGGAGGCTGCACAGTGATGTAATGCCGGAGCCGGGCATTGGCTGGGCTGACAAATCACAATAAGCAGAGTGAGAAAAAGGGGGGAAATGAGACAGGAGGGGGGAGGAGGAGGGAGGTTAGGAGAGGCGAGGCGTCTCCTGTGAGCAGAAGCTGGTCGGAGGCTCTCAGCAGCAAGATGTCCGAGTCGTAATCAGAGCAGAAAGGAACGGGAGGCAGCGACCGAGGGCTCCGGCGAATGGATTATGAGAGAAGCTGAGAAGGAGGACATAAAGGAGGACGCTAGCAGGAGGACAGAGGAAGGGAGGGGGAGCCTGGGAAAAAATCGCTGCGGCCATTTGCACCACTGCAGCTTCCCGGCCTGAGTGGCTGCCTGTCTGTCTGCTTCAGCTGTCTGTCTGTCTGTCTGTCCTGGTCTCTGTGGATCGAGCATCTTTACCTGTTTTATCACCTTCCTGTTTGTGTGTGTGTGTGTGTGTGTGTGTGTGTGTGTGTGTGTGTGTGTGTGTGTGTGTTTGTGTGTGTGTGTCTTCTTCTCTTGCCAATATGATGAGACAGACTCCTGCACCCCGGAAGGTACAGAACTCCATATGATTATCTGTTGGGATGTTGTTGTTGTCACCATCCATTTGTTTTGTTGGCAGAGCTGCTGTAAAGGTCATGCTGGAAGTTTCAGTTATTTCTCTGTCATTTTATTTTGAAGGGACTTGCCCTTTCATTTTCCTCTCTAGTGATACTCCCAGTGTGGATGAAGAGGTGCACCTGCAGTTTGCTGTTTCAGTTTATTTCTCCTTCAGTTTTGATTTCTGCAGATGTATTCCATGTGTGTGCAGAAGCTTTTTAAATTCCGCTCTTCAGCTTCTCTGTTTTATTTGGCCTCATCCTGCAGCAGCGTTTTCACACAGCGTCTTTACGAGGTCAGTGATTTTTGTTGGGAGAATCAAATGATTTCACTCTCGGCTGCAGATGTAGTGAACAGGCTGATGTGATTTCAGTACAGCTTGTTCTCATATCTACAGCGCGACACCGTGGCTTAAGAGGGCTGTCAGCTCTTATTTGGTACAGCTGTTAGCTCGGGCTAATTTCTGCTGAATGGTCCGGCTCTAATCCAATAAAGAACAATAACTAGCCAAAGCGACGGCCGTGCCCAAGCAGGAGCAAAGAGAGACAGAGAGTCAGTGTGCAAAAAGGACAGGAGGAGGTAAAGTGAAGAGTAGAGGAGGAGAGTGACTTCAGATCAGTGTGCAGGAACGTGAAGAGCAGCAGAGTAGAAAGTGTCTGCACAGACTTGAGTTACACTGTGTTCAGATAACTACAAGAACAAGACTCACCTCGATATCAAAGTACATTTACTCACCTCTGAGTCTGAAGCTGTTCGATATATTTTAAGATATAATATTGAACTTTTTCGCATAATTAAATGTCTTAAAACAACCAGACCAGTGTTGTATTCAGCAGAGTTGTGTAACATTATCCCAGATGTTTCCAACGATGTTCAGACCCTGAGAAATCAGTCATTTTAATCAAGGACACGATCCATGTCATATGGTCGGCCTGTCAGTGGCATCATTTCCCCTTTAATCATCAGTCAGGGTGGTGGTTGTCTGATAGAAGCTGTCATAAATTTACTTTTTATCCAGTTTCAAGCCTCATTTTTAGATCTTTTTAGATTTTTTGGGACATTTTCCCTTCATTGAAAGCACAGCTGAAGATAGAAAGGAAAGATGGGACAGAGATGGAGGAGGACGTGCAGCAATCAGGGTTGCAATCAAATCTGGGCTGCTGCAAAGGACTCAGCCAATATGGGGCGTACGCTATCAGGTTAGCTAGAGGTCACCCCAGATCTTGGTCGTCGTTGACTACAAGTTTTAGCCAGATGGAGGATTTTAGTCATCTGAAGTCTGGATCTTAAGTTATCGGAGAAACAAGCTCAGCAGATGATAGCAGCAGCTCAGCTCCAGGCCCTGCTGTGCCGATCAGCTTTGGAGAAACACTGGTTTTTAATGTGAAACAGCTTAATTCAGTGTTTTTACCGGTTTAAATCAGCTGGTCTGTTTGTTTTGGATAGGAAGAGAGCTCTGTGGATAATTCAGCTCCTGGTAAAAACCTCCTGAACGTCTGGATCTTAAGTTATCAGAGAAAAACGGTGAACTCACCTTAGCAGATTGTGGACGAGTCGCCTGTCTCTGACTTGCCAAATAACGTTGGAAAAACACAGATTTGTAACATAAAACTGTTTCATTAAGTGTTTTTACCGGTTTAAATCAGCTGGTGCATTTGTTTTAGGGATAAAGAGACCTCTGAATCATTTGGCTCCTGGTAAAAACCCAGAATATCTGAATCTTGAGCGAAACAAGCTGAGCAAATTTTGACAGCAGCTTGTCTTCAACCCCTGCCGTGCCAAACAGCAATGCAGAAACACTGATTTTTAACGTGAAACATCTTTATTTAGTGCTTTTAAAAGTTTAAATCAGCTGGTCTCTTCATTTTGGAGAGGAAGAGACCTCTGTAGATTTTTACTATTTTTGTTTGATTATCAGTAAATATCGGTTGGTGTGTTTTATTTTAGCCTGTACTAATTATTTCCTAGAAAGTCTCCTGGAAAGAACATCTTGGCAGTCATCATAAGTAGAACAGAGACAGTGTCAGTTGGTTCACTTCCAATGACTGATTACACTTAACTGCTAAAACAGCTTAATCCAGTCTTTTACTGAGTATTAAAAACATTTGCAGTTTGTCTTTAGGAAAGCTGAAAGTTTACTGGAAAGTTTACCGGTTATTCCACCATTGTTGTTTCTAGTGTGTCCTCATAACTCAAAGCAACAACAGGGCTGTGCAAACGGACAACGTCATTGTTTCCCGATGCTCCGTTTTACTCGTCCACACAGAGAAACAGAAACTGCAGTTTGGAAAAATCTGCACCTTAAACCCTGTTTACACCGAACAGTTCAGTTCAGTTTGGTATGCTTTTTTGTCAGTTTGTGGATGGTACCAACAGAAGCGTTCCTTAGCGTCCCCATGTTTGGTCCCCCCTCTGTTGGGGTACCTAGCACACAGATCTGGTACTAAAAGGTGGAGCTAGAAACCCTGCAGTCTGATTGGTCAGTAGAGGACGCTCACTCTGGTTTTATGTAACCTCTGTTCATACATCAGTAAACTACAACTATAAAATGAAAGAGAAAAAATAACTTCATTCACTGGGCCGACTGCCGGCAACTTTTAAGGTGGAACGTTAACTTGTAATGTTACTCAATGCATGAGTTGATGACGTGAATCCATCAGCACACCTTAAATTTCACTGTGACAACTTTGACCATCACTTTAGTTTTCATATGACACACACTTTTAGTAATGACTTTAAAAATATAGATTAATTTGGAGCGGATTATGTGAAGGTCATATATTCTAATCCTCACTTCCTGTGGGCTACAGCAACACTAAACCCCTGAGCTTGCCTGAGAAGGACTAAATGCACAAAGCTGCTATTTTTAAATATCCCATGGAGAGAGACTCTCACTGCAGCCTGTTCTATTTTGTTGTGAAAATGTGGGCGTGCAGCCTCGTTCTGTGGACGATAAACCAGGTGCAGACTTCCATCTGTGTCACCGCTGATGAGGAAATACAGCGAGTGCTGGACGGAGCAGTGAGTGACAACAACCCCGCCCACATTTAAGAGGACTGTCTGAACACACCGAGGGTCTAGGTACCATGTCTGAAGGGTTACTGCTGGTTCCAAAGGGACTGGACTGAAAGGGTTTGGTGGAAACAGGGCTTTAGAAGACGTTAAAAAAAAATCTCCATCAGTAACCTAAACTCCATTTTCATGCGGACGAGAGGCCAAAACATAAAGGAAAATATGCGTTTATAAAAATATCTCTTGTCTGTGTGGACAGAGCTGGAATTTGTTCTGACAGATGCTTTTTCTGAGCCTGGGAACAAGACGAATCAGCGAGCTCATGTTTATTTGCTCTTAGTTGAAACCAGGCTAGCTTTTTAAAAGATTAAGAATCAACTTTGAAACTCAAATTTAAAATTATTTTCATCACATTTATTAACAGACTAACCGAAATATTTATTTGTGAACACTTTTTTTCTAGTGCCACATTTTATTTCTGATTGTCTTGATATAATCTGGAGAAAGCGTTATTGTCCCACTGTACAAATCTGTGCATGTTAAAGTTAATACATTTTGAGTCTGAACTGGAAATAGTTCCTAACCCTAAAGGCTGTAAGAATGCAGTTTAATCTGAGTTAACTCATAATAATAAAACCAAAAACAGTTACAGTGGAAGTTTCGGACTTGATTTCCTCAGAATACATTGTGGGATCTTCTGCACTTTTCTTTAGGATGCTCTTTGCCGTCCTTTCTGTCAAATCCGTCCTACTCCAAACTGTTTCATTAACACAGTGTAACCCAGGTCAGCAGGACAGACTCCAGGGACCATAAAAGAACAAAGTGTGGATCTTTCTCAGTGAAGCATGTCTGAAACACGCCATGAAGCAGGATAACAAGCTTTTATGTCAGTGCAGCACAACAGAGCTGGGTTCCCTTTCCTGTCCCGTGAGACACAATGCAGTCATTTAGGTCACAGCAGCCGTACCAGACACAGTGTCCATGCTGTCAATGAGGTTTACAGTCACGTGGGAGGAAGAGATGAGGCCCTGGAGACCAGCCATGAGACCGAGCAGAGATCTGTAGGGATGCTACGTGATAACAGATCCATTGTTTTATCTTTTGTCGTTGGTTTCGTGCTCCCATCTCGTCCTTTTGTCTGTGATTTCTAGTTTAATATGAACTTGGCCTGGAATCACTAACCCTGGCTGTTTGTTTCCTTCCCTCCTCTCCTCCTTCTCTCCTCCTCTGCTGCCCTTTGACCTTTCCCACCTCCTCTCCTCTTCAGACCACGGCCAGAAGGCCCAAGGTGAGCTCAGTCCTCGGCGCCTGCAGGGCTTCACGTTTCTATCAGTTTGATTTCTGTACTGGTGTGTGGTCGTAGTTTGTGTGTGTGTGTGTGTGTGTGTGTGTGTGTGTGTGTGTGTGTGTGTGTGTGTACGTTGCCAGGTAGTGTCAATACATCACAAAACATTATTCACCATTTTATTTTCATTATTTTGGTCGTACATCACTGTTTTTTCTTCTTCACATTTATATTTACAGCACAAACACTGTTTCTGTCTCCACCCAATATTCATGTGTTCAATGTTCGGGTTCTCACTTCTGTTCATCTTTAATTAATGTTTGAATTAATTGCAGCACAGTTTTTAGCTTATCATATACTTTGTCTGGTTTCTGAATTTGATTTTGTGTATTTTTAATTTAATGTTCAAGCATTTTTCTGTGGGGTCTGTGGGCATCATGGAGGTCCAATGAAGAGTTGGCATTTTGCAAACACGAAATTCATGACAGAAAATTAGACACACCTAAAAGAAAAATAATAATGGTTTTGATGTGGATGTTTAATTGTCTGTTTGATAATTATATATAATTATATAAATGTGGATAGTTAAATAGTGGAAAGTTGTAAATCTGTGAAAAAGTCTTCTGACTCTTATTTGTCATTTCCTCACTCCTTGATCCTCGCTTGAACCTGAAGTCGTTCTGGTGTGCCATCTTTAACGCTGCCCCAAAACTCTTATTTCTGCTCTGAGGAGCGATGAGCGAGGATACACGAGAGCAGCCTTCACGGAATTCTTTAATTGGCCGACACGCCCCGCATTAGGTGGACGCTGCAGCTGATTGGACTAATCTAATGTCACATCAAACTGGAGTTTCATACAGAGTGAAGACAGCAAAAATTAAAAATTAAACCGAAGTGTATCACTCCAAGTTTTATGTTTTATTTATTTTCTGTTTCACCATCTCGTTAAAAATTAGCTAAGACAGAAACTTTCTTATTTACTAGAGAGATTTGTCTTTTCACAACCTCTAATTTCCTCCATTAACTCTTATTACAGAGACAATTAAAGCCAGAGTCTGTCAGCAAGAAACATTTTTTACATCATTTATTACAGTATCAACTTAATCATAGGCGGGGGCTCAGGGGACGCATCCACGTCAATGTTTAGATCATGTGCATCCCCCCCCAATAAAACATGAAAGTAGCAGAGGACTTTTATTTTGACAAAATTAAAGATTATCACCATAAACTGATGCAAAAAAGGGCAGTTTTATTAGTGCATAAAAATTCAGAATGCAGGAAATTTTGTTTGATGCTCAAAGTTTTGTTTCCTGTTTCCTACGACCTTGAACTTATTTTGTATTCAGTACAACAAAAAATACGATGGTGAATGATTTTTTAAACGCCGAAATAAAGAGAAAGTCAGACGTCGATAATGCAAATCATAAATTGTGTTGTTGTCCAATACTAACAAGCTGAAAGGGGGCATATCTCCACCTATCGTAGAGGAGTCGCACATACTTGGCTCAATAAATGGATTCCCCTCCCGTGCTTGTATACTGGGACAAGGACAGTAGGCCAGTTAGATGTCCTCGTCCAGCTGGGACTGTAGCTCCACTTCACTGTGACTGGAAACAGACTGAGTGACTCTGAACGCAGATGATCATAAACCTGGATACTGTCATACTCATAAATACAGAGACAGAAATAACCAGGTTTGCTGTAAGTTCAGTAAACGTCCTAAATAAGGTAGAAACCAGGATACTATGTGCATGTAAACATTCTCAGTGATGGACCTCCATTATGGCCACTACAACACTAAACCACTAAAAAAATTTTACATCAAACACTCAGTGATGTTTTCCCTCATGATTTCTTCTTCTTGGTTTCTGCAGCAGCCCACCCGGCCTGCAGGTGGGAAGGGAGCTGCGTCCGGCTCGGCCTCGGCCTCTGCTGGAGAGATGAGCAGCAGCGAGCCCAGCACGCCGGCCCAGACTCCTCTAGCTGCACCGGTCATCCCCACGCTCCACTCACCTGGAAACCCTCCGGCCCCCGTCCCCAGCAAGGTCAGTGTCATCTGGGCTGCTCCTGCCTAAGGATGTTCCTAGTGGACCATCAGTCCTCATCAGGGTCCATCAGTGGACTAGTCTCCTGCATGTTTCTGATATGAATGTAATGATTAAATGATATATTTTGGTGGTTTGAGTTGAAGGTGTGAGAAAGAATAGTATCAGTAACATTGTTAACACTGTGCTACCAGTAAATTCAGAACAAGATGCATCCACCAGATTCTGAGGAAACACTGTAAGTCTCCAGTCTTTATGTTGCACTTGCCTACATTTTAGATTTTGTTGAATTTACAGAGGAAGCAGGAGATTAACGCCAGCTATGAGGAAACGTTTTTGCTCTTGAATCTGAGCTTTGTAACCAGGACAGCACACGACACTGTGGTTTAGTAACACGGTGCACATCGTGCCAACAAGATCAAAGACGTCTTAGCGCTCCGTGTGTAAGCCAGAGGAGCAGAAGTGCGGGAGTTAAATCAGATGTGACATCGTCTTTGCTATAGCTCCTCTAAATATACAGGAATTCTGACACAGCTGTCAGTTTGTGTTGATGTCATAAAGAAAAAGAATCTGAAATTAGGTGAAATTAAAAAAGGTGAAATATGATACAGGAGGCAACATAACAAACACAACAGGGATTCTGATGACAGGGAAACGCATAAATTATAATGTAGCACCAATCTTTTAGTGAAATAATCCATCTATTAATTTTCTAAAGAGCGTATCCTCTTCATGGTCACAGGTGGCTGGAGGGTTTCCCAGCATGCATTGAGTGTGAGGCAGTAAATCTTGCACATGTTGAGAGTTGATTATTATTTAAAGAAGTGTTTTTCATTTTAAATCACAAAAAATAGAAATACATAAATGTTTTTTGGAGCAGTGTAAAGAGTGTTATGATTAACTGCACTGAGGCAAGTCGCTGCAACAGCTCCAAAAAAATTGTATTTAATATAGAGTAGGTTATTGTTTTAAAAAATTACTTTGACTATATCCTGACGGTGGCATATGAGACAGGTAATCTGTTGTCGGCATCGCCCCTTTTACACTGCCCATTCAAGGCATGAATATCACTCTGTTATTCTGCCTCGCCATTCTGTTGAAAAGGTGCAGTCGTAGAATGGAGGGACAGAGTTGTCTTGCCTTTAAGCCAGCAGCAGAGACTGATGCTGTTGTGTTAAAGTTCTCACCAGTCATACGTCCTTTGCTTCCAGCATGCTGTCTGAAATGACACAGTGGAGCGGCACGATGCCGCTTTTGTTTGAGTCTGTGTAAAAAAAAAGCAAAGAAGGTATGAAGAAGGGACTTTGTAGTCGCCCTATAGCGCAATGTCAGGTTAAAAAGAGCTGTAGTTTAAAGTGTGGGGCCTCTGACCAAGCTGCCATATTTAACGAGTGAGAATGTTGGATATACAGCAGGGTGTCATTTGCGTAGGTGTGAATATTCATTTGTAATTCTTAAGGCCCAACCAGAGACAGGGGTTGCAAATCAGCCACGGCTAGAAACCTGTATGCATTACACCTACTTTGTATTTTACATATGACGCAATGTCTTATGCATTTGTCCCTGTCAAATGAACAAGTAAATAAACAAAAAAAATAAATGAAGGGCTGCTGAATGCTTGAACATAACAATTAAAGAGAAGTGGATCCAGGATTGAGCTTTGAGGGACACCGCACTCAACACAACTAATATTTATACAAATAAATACTCTTCATGCTTAAACTTTAACGATGCAAATGTTGCATCTAACATCACCAGTGTACAATGGTCTCCTGCTTTTGTTCTGAGGTGATGATTTGAGTTTATTGTGTGGCAGATTTAAAAATGGCATTAACTGGAAATAAAGAGGACGAGTCTCAATATAAGCTGAATTTTATGTGCCTGCTGCTTCTCAGGATGACACAAGTGATTTGCTCTGGAGCTCACAGTCTATTAAATATGATTAAGATGTGCAGATGTTGGTCGATTTGAGGCTTTAAAGTTGCTTAATTGTCCGTGAACCCTTCATTAATCATCAGCTGTGTACACGTTAAGCAGAGGGCGAAGAAACATGTCCTTTAATCTGAAGTTAAATGTCACGGATTATCACTCTAACATTTTGTAAAAGTCAGCTGTCATCTGCTGTTTGATTTTGAGGCCGACATCATCAGCCTGATTCGTATTTTATCCCCTCAGGAGGACGTCACTATGGAAACACAGGTGCAGTCATGCGGCATGATGTGATGGGGTTTTTTTTTTTGCACTCAGTATGAAGTGTTGTTTTTTTTCTCTCACTAACATTTTAACGAGCTGCTGTGACTTCTGTTCTTTAATTGGTGTGTGAGGCGCCGTCTCTGTTTCACAGACTGGGTTCTTTACTGCAGGATTAAATTAAGATCTCCTGTCGTTAAGGGGTGTGTTTTAATGTGTATGAACACATATTGTGAGTGTGTCCTTCCCGACGAGGCATGTGAGTGTGTCGACGCTGACTCTCTCGTCTCCACAGGTGGAGTCACTGCATGGCGAGTGAAATTAAAGCCTCCTAACACGTAAAAATATGAAGGTGGTGTTAGAGTGAAAGTTTTACACCTGACCTGTTGTTCGAGGACGCATGAATGTGACAATATTAAAGAAACATTAAGGAACAAAAAAATGTAACTTCTGTTGTGTTTCACAGTGCAGAATAGTTTCAGGGCTCCATGCCGGTGATAGCTGTAGCTAAAGGCGTTATGTTTTTCAGGTTGTCTGTCTGTCAGTACGTGAGCACGGTATCTCAAGAACATGTTGAGGGAATGCCTTTACATTTGGTACAGACATTCAGTTGGACTCAACAATGAACTGAATAGAATTTGTTGGTCAGAGGTCACTGTGACCTTGCATCTGTCTCATTTTTGTGAACAGGATTTCCCAAAAATGCCTTAGGGGAATCTTTTTCAAATTTGGCACAACCATTTAGTTGGACTCATTAATGAACTGATTAGAATTTGATGGTCAAAGGTCAAGGTCACTGTGACCGTGAGTCAATTTCATGCTTGTGAACACAATAATTCATGAGCACATTGAGGGATTTTTTTCAAATTTGGCACAAACGTTCACTTGGACTCAACAATGAACTGGATAGAATTTGGTGGTCAGAGGTCACGGTGACCTTGCATCTGTCTCATTCTTGTGAATATGATTTGCTAAGAACATCTTTAGGGATTTTTTTTCAAATTTGGCACAAACATTCACTTGGACTCGAGGATGAACTGATGAACTTAGATTTTGGTGATCAAAGGTCAAGGCCGGTGTGACCTTGCTTCCATCTCATTCTCGTGAACGCAATATCTCAAGAACAGCGTGAGGAATTTCTTCAAATTTGTCACAAACATTGACTAGATGAACTGATAAGTTTTTGGTGGTCATAGATCAAAGGTCAAGTCTATGGGACCTCATCTGTCTCATTCTCCTGAACGTGATAACACCTTAGAACACCTTAAGGGAATTTCTTTATCTTTGGCACAAACGTTCACCTGGACTGAACAATGAACTGATTAGAATTTGGTGGTCAAAGGTCACTGTGACCTTGCCTCAGTCTCATTCTCATCAATGCAATAACTCAAGAAAACTTAGAAGGAATATTTGGCACAAATGTTAATTTGGACTCATGAATGAACTTATTAGAGCTCAGTTCAGTGTGACCTCACGAAACAAAGTTTTGGCCATAACCCAGGAATTCATTCAATAATTATGCTAAAATTTAACGCAAATGTCAAACAGAATGCAATGATGAAGAGATGACATTCTAGATCCAAAAGGTCAAAGGTCAGCTTGACTGTGACATCATCATGTTTTAACATCATATCTCAGGAACAGAATTACAGACATTCGGTCAGATACTGAATTGATGTATGTGAAGCATTCATGTTTTCACAGACATGGGTGTAAACTAGCTGCAACTTCACTGATTTGTGGAGGCGTACAACCACAAGGTGGTAATTATAGTTTTAAATGTGTGATTGCTAATTAAATTTCTCCTTTCCCTCCTGTCTGTTCTCTGTCTTTAAATATCTGCCTTTCCATCCTCTCATCATCTTGTCACCACCCTGTCCTCCATTTCCTCCATATGTCCTCGTCATCCAGGAGGAGGAGGCGCTGCGTGGTCAGGTGAAAGACCTGGAGGAGAAGCTGGAGACGCTGAAGATGAAGCGGACGGAGGACAAGGCCAAGCTGAAGGAGCTGGAGAAGCACAAGATCCAGCTGGAGCAGCTGCAGGAGTGGAAGACTAAGATGCAGGAGCAGCAGGCCGAGCTGCAGAAACAACTCAAGGAGGCCAAGAGGGTAAGACGCAACACACGAGGGAGGAGACGAGTGGTTGTACAGGGAGATGTTTAATGCATGTTATCAGTGCATCCTCAAAATGGCTGCAGAAACAGGACAGAAATGATCTGTGTCATCAATGTACACCCACATAGTCCTGAGTTTGTTTTATTTTTACCTGAAGTGATTTCACATTCTTTAAATGTAAAAATGTATAGCCTATACACTGATTATTTATTTTATTTTATTTAACCTTTATTTAACCAGGAAGATCCCATTGAGATTAACAACCTCTTTTTCAAGGGAGACCTGGCCAAGATAGGCAGCAGCAAGTACAAAACACAGTTACAAATTACACAGATAAAACACAAACAAATAAAATAAAAAAGTATTGAATTTACAAGCAGATTATGAAAAACAAGTACATGTAGTGGAGTCGGCCTCAAGTATTCTCAGGTTGGATTTAAAGGCGCTCAAAGAAATGAATCCTGTTAGTTTCCAGTCATTTTGCAACATATTCCATGCTAAAGGTGCAGAGTAGACAAAAGCCTTTTTACCCAATTCAGTACGGACATTTGGAACAGAAAGCAACAAGTAGTCTTGAGAACGAAAGGAGTAAGGACCAGCACTTCTCTGTGCAATTAAGGAACAAATGTAGGAAGGCAATAGACCAAGTAATGCCTTATATATAAAAGTATACAATGACTGAGCCTTCGTGTGGCCAGAGCAGCCCATCCAACCCGAGAGTATAACTCACAGTGTTGTGTCAATGGTTTATAATTAGTGATGAACCTCAGAGAGGCGTGATAGACAGTGTCAACCAGATGAAGACATTTAGCAGAAGCATTCATATATAAAAGATCTCCATAATCCAACACTGGTAAAAAGGTAGCAGCAACAACAAGTCGCTTTTTTGCATTAAAAGAAAAACATAGCTTATTTCGAAAGTAAAAACCCAGTTTTATCCTCAGCTTCTTCACAAGTTTCTCTATATGCGGCTTGAAAGTGAGGGAGACATCAATCAAGACACCCAGGTATTTATACTCGTGAACCACCTCTATTTCATTTCCCTCGAGAGTGGTCACTGAGGGGATAATTTGTGGCCTCTTCCTAGAATTAGAGAACAGCATAAGCTTAGTCTTGTCTGCATTGAGAACAAGTTTCAGCTGAAGTAATGAGTGCTGGACAGCAATAAAAGGCTTTCTGCAGAGATTCAAGAGTTGATCCACAGCAGTAAATAATTGTGTCATCAGCATAGAAATGCAAATTAGCATCTGTCACATTTATACCCAAATCACTGATATAAACAATGAATAAGAGGGGACCTAATATAGAACCCTGCGGCACCTCCTTGTGGACAGTAACAATATCAGAACACAGGCCATCATATTTAATGCACTGAGTCCTATTACTGAGATAGTTGGTGAACCAATTAACTGCTTGCTCCGAGAGTCCTGATTGCAAGAGTCTAAGTTTTAAAATATCATGGTCAACCATGTCAAATGCTTTCGACAAATCAATAAAAAGACTAAAATGTTTTAACATTTCTATTTTCAACTAAAATGAGCATCACACGTCTACGACCTGGTGCTTTCTTCTCTAAAATTTAGCCAGACCTCAAAGGCGAAGGCTCGTCTTGAGTCTCCCTAGTTATGGATTCCAAACTCAAAAAAGGAAAACAGAGAATTTAATGGTTTGTGGACAGATTTGTTTGCTTGAATAATTAACTTACTTTAAAGGCACAAATGAGCAATGAACTGAAAAACTAAATGCATGAAGAGCAAAAAAATGACCCTGCAGGTTTTAAAGATTATATTAAGACTATATTTAAAACTGTACATCACTAACTCTACACAATAATCTGTGTGTAGGAGGCAAAAGAAGCCATGGAGGCGAAGGAGCGTTACGTGGAGGAGATGTCGGACACGGCAGATGCGATCGAGATGGCCACTCTGGATAAGGAGATGGCCGAGGAGAGGGCGGAGTCTCTGCAGCTGGAGGTCGACTCCATGAAGGAGAAAGTGGACGAGCTCACCATGGACCTGGAGATCCTCAAGCACGAGATCGAAGAGAAAGGTACGGCTGAGACGCAGAGATGAAAATATGTTTTATTATGAACATATTTTTATTATAATTTGCTGATGGCTGTTTCTAATTGTTTTATATTATTTTTGTTTCAAAGCTGACAACAGAGCATTTGACACATTTTAGTCCTGTCATAGCCTCCGTGTGACACATTCTGAACCCTGGATGTGGAAACTGACCTGAGGTTTTAGCCTAAAATAATAAGTTACATGTTGATGTTGTGTCAGTCGCGTCTTGCTGCAGGTAGTGACTGAAAAACGTTTTATCAACAGGCTGTTCTTTCTGCTTTAATACAGAATTGTTGCAAACTCTAAATATAAAGTTTATTTCCCACTAATAAATGCTGTGAGTGGACACACATTGACGGTGTGAACATGCCCCGAGTGGTCACATTGCTGTTTCGCCGCTACCCTCTGCAGTGCTTTCACTCAATACTGGACCAGTTTATAAAACTGTTGCTCCCATTAGTCACTAAGACACAAGAACATGGTTGAGGTTCAGCTTTGCAGTTGTGCTCCCCCTTGAACCAAAAGACTTTGGTTTCCTGGATGCTGCCCAGCAGCTCATGGGAATAACGCTGCCGGATTAGTTTTTGGCATCATTTATGGTCCGAACTACAACAGTATCTGATTGTCTTCAAACCTCTGACTTTTGTTCTTGATGAATGAAAAACATTCTTGGCAAATGCTTTCGTCCATCTTTCGCGGGTCCAAGAATTTCACCTCTAGCGGCACAACACGAATGCCCCTGGCCGTCCCTCTTAATCATGGCCCCCAGTTCAGAGAGAAAACCCACAACATAGAACCGGAGTCCTGTTCCATTGTTCCTAGCTGCTGTATTTAGGTGACTGGGCCTGCTTTGAACACTCCAATATTTTCAAAGTAAACATTTCGGACCCTGCAGGACACTCAGCTGAGAGCAGTGACAGAGCACAGAGAGGCAGGGCCTGGGATAGATAGATAGTCAGAGATCCAACTACGAGCTGTTAGACTGCAGCAACTTTAAGATATGCTATTGGAGCTGGAATTACCGCCGTGCTGGCACCAGACGTGCCCTCCAATTGATCCTCGTTAAATAGGATAGGAATAGGAAGTTGGAAAACACCCAGACTCACCCTTTAAGGCCTTTAAAAGAAACACTTTCACATTAGACATAAACCTTTGAGCTGTAAAAATAGAGTGAAAATATTAAAATTCTTCACACAGAAGGGAACAAAATGAAATAACCATGTTTCAGTCTGAGCTCAGAGTTAATCTGAAATGTAAAACTTTAAGGCCGTATATAATACAGATCAGTTATTTGGTGTTTGGTTACGATCAATCAGCTCAGGAGCAGAAACGACAAATGTTGGCCCACGACGTGATTAGACTGTTGAGATGGTGTCGAGCTGCTCATCAGTGACCTCTGAGTGCAGCGTGATGGAGGCTGATTTATAGTTGCTTCTTACTTTGTCTTCATCCTGGGAGGGTTTTATTTACAGCTGCAGAGCACCGAGCTAAACTCCGCCATTTGTTTAATTAAAACCTGTCATCGTTTCTTTGGCAGTAACACACAGCAACATTAATCCTGTTGAAGCGTCATCTGGTGACATAAATTAAAAGTTGTTCTTGGCATTTAGCAGAAAGTTAGTAAGTAAGTATCAAACACCACTGGACACATTAGAGCTCAGTGTTTTTGGTTTCTCACAGGTTCTGATGGCGCAGCCTCCAGTTACCATGTGAAACAGCTGGAAGAGCAGAACGGGAGACTGAAGGAAGCGCTGGTCAGGTAGGTCGACTCCTCACCTGCACGAAGACAGTTATTATTTTATTAGGCTTTGTAAAGTTGACAGTGAATAGAGATAAGAAAGTTTAAGAGAGAAGACAAATAAATTCAACAAAGTTCGTAATCCAGATTGTTCTGTTTTTAAAATATGATGTTATTAAGATTTCTCAGTATGTGCGATGTACACTTCAAACCCACATTAAATGAACAAAGACTCACAATCTCATTGACAAAGCAAAACAAGACAGGAAGGGCACTTTGAGCTGACCTCTGCCAAGACAAGTAGTCCAGTCTCTTATGACGTGCACATCTGCAGGTCCAACCACTATACATGTCTGGATACATTCAAGCCAAATTTGTATTGTAACTGAAATATGCCGAATCAAATCAACATTGCGTCATATCCTAAATCGAATTGAATCAAATTGTGACCTTGTGAATATCAGTCATATAGATTCAGGATATCAGTGGTTAAACCCAGCCCTGAGTGTCTGAGTATCAGTTTCGGATGACTCTTCTTCATCCAGATGTTGATGGTGTGTTTTTCTCGTGTGTCAGGATGCGTGACCTGTCAGCGTCAGAGAAGCAGGAACATGTGAAGTTGCAGAAGCAGATGGAGAAGAAGAACGTGGAGCTGGACGCTCTGAGGAGCCAGAAAGAAAAACTGCAGGAGGAGATGACGGTGGCAGAAAAGACCATCGACGAGCTCAAAGAGCAGGTCGGTGTTTTTATCACACTGCTGCAGAGACATAAATCAGTCGGTCAGGGTCGGACTGTTCACTGAGGAGATGTTTATTAGAGGTTTTTACAGGAAACTGATGCTAATGTGAACTGTTAAAGATGATGCTGTCATTTCAGATGATGATGATGTGTTTCAGGTGGATGCAGCCCTGGGAGCGGAGGAGATGGTGGAGACTCTGACGGAGAGGAACTTGGACCTGGAGGAGAAAGTCAGAGAGATGAGAGAGACGGTCACTGACCTGGTGAGTGAACATCTTAATCTGATGTGAGATTATGTTGAATTAGTTCAGTTTATTTCTGTCGATCTGTTATGAACAGCAGCTGTATTTATTGTTGTTTAAGTGGTTTAATTATACGACATATCATTTGAAAGCTGCACTCCTCATGGTGCCATTAATGCTGACCATGTCAAGATGCAACCACCACAGCAAGCTCAATAAACACTTCTGTCAGGCAAACAACAAACAGTTAGAACTCACCTTTGAAGCATTATCATGATCTACAAATCTTACATAGCTCTCAGTTCATTTCTAAGTTTTCACTCATAATCACATTCAGTTCATTGTTTTACCCTCTTTTTATGAAAAGGACAAAACCTCAGAAAAACCTGTGTAAAATGTTTTTTTTTTCTGTGATATTGTTTTCTGCTTTGAATTTGGACTATATAGGGCTTCATTGTGTTTTCCAGCTGATTCCTCTCAGTTCTGCAGCAGCTTTTTTCAAGAAAATATTCAGGCAAATTAAAAAAAAATCCTTTTATTTCAGTGTGTTGAAACTTGTATAACTCAATAGTAGAAGCACTTAAAGTGATTCTCAAGTGTTAACTCTGAAATGAAATTGTACATGTGCTAATGATGGACCAAGAACGGCATTCAGTTTACTTTAGGTATGACTTGGGAGGTGTTTTAGATGAATTAATTACCTATATAACTCAAATACACACATGAAAAGAAAAAGAAAAACTATTTTAAGTTATACTTTTAAAGCAGTGACAAACCACAGCGAGTTTATGTTGACTGAAAAAGATGTAGGCTGAAGCCTCATCTTATTATCCTTATTGCATTAATTAGTCTGCATAGTCCGCTGTAGATTTTTACGCTGAAAATGAAAGAAACAAAACAAATATATGAATATTGTGTATACCCCAAAGTCCCAAACAAGAATTCAAATACACACTAGTGATCATACCTTACCTTTATATTTGTTTATCATCTCATAATGACTCAGTCTCATTTTGAACAAATTCAGGTCACAGTGTGGAAGCATCTTACGTTTTACTTAATACATTAATTTGCAGTTAAAGTCCACCAAATCTCTAGATTTGAGAGCATGTGAGTCAGTATACATAAATTGTTGGTTCATGATTATCAGCTCTGTCCACAGTCCTTACAGCTCCCCTCTGTAGCATAAAGATTGGATTTGTGATTGTTTTTTATGCATCACCCAAACCTCCTCTCAGTAGGTAATGTGAGGACGGAGCATGAAACTGAATCAATTTGTTCATTTAAAGAAAACAGCTAAAGATTGTTTATTTCCCACTGACTCACTTCTTTGCTCAGCCCCTGTGTGTGTGTGTGTGTGTGTGTGTGTGTGTGACTGTATTAGGTCAGAGAAAATTAAAGTGCCACAGTTTGCTGACTCATTTCATCACTGATATATGGAGCAGAGTCATTAATGTGCTGCCCTCTGGTGTTTGTTAACTCTGCAGTCAGGTTATAATTATTCCACCTCTATTACCATCCGACATCAATCAGGACAAACATAGAGGAAATCTGAGCGGTCTGTTACTGTCTCAGGTAAAAGTCGTCACTTGCAGTATGTGCAGAGTTTTATGATCATAACATGATGACGGACTGTGGTTTTAAATTTAAGATAAATGAGTAAGTAAAAAGTAAGTAATACATTAGTCAGTGTGATTTGCATCAACCAGCAACAGTTTAATTAGTTTTGCCACTTTATTGTCAAATGATCCATTTTTAATCCACTTATCCGGGGCCGGGTCTCGGGGGCAGTGAAGCACCCCGGACGTCCCTCTCCCCAGCAACATTTTCCAGCTCCTCCCAGGCCTCCTGAGGCGTTCCCAGGCATTTCCAATGGGAAATTATATTAAACAATATTGAAATTAATTCAAATAAGCTTTTCCAGATAAAAATGAAGAACCCAGTTCAATTCAGTTTTATTTATAAAGCCCAATATCACAAATCGCAATCAGCCTCAGAGGACTTTACAGCAGACGACATCTGTCTGTCCTTTGGAGCCTCACAGCTGATCAGGAAGAAATCCCCAAAAGTTTGAGGTTTAGTTAATTGATCCGTTTCTTCTGGCTTTATCGATAGATATAATTGTGTATCATCTGCATAACAATGGAAATTTATAGAGTGATTTCTAATGATGTTACCTAAAGGAAGCATATATAGAGTAAATAGGATTGGTCCGAGCACAGAACCTTGCGGAACTCCAAAACAAACTTTGGTACGTAAGGATGATTCATTATGAACGTCAACAAACTGAAAACGATCAGATAAATAAGATTTAAACCAGCTTAGTGCTGAACCTTTTAGGCCAATTGAATGTTCCGGTCTCTGTAGCCGAATTTGATGGTCAATTGTGTCAAACGCCGCACTAAGATTTAATAAAACAAGTACTGAGACGAGTCCTTTGACTGAAGCAATCAGAAGGTCATTTGTACTTTTAACTAGTGCTGTCTCAGTGCTATGATGCACTCTAAATCCTGACTGAAATTCCTCAAATAAATTATTATCATGGAGAAAATCACACAGCTGGTCTGCGACTACTTTCTCAAGGATCTTTGACATAAAGGGAAGATTAGATATTGGTTTATAGTTGGCTAACACCTCTGGATCCAGGGTGGGCTTTTTTAGGAGAGGTTTAATTACAGCTACCAAAAGAAAAATAGGATGCGTCCAGGAGTATAAATATTTTACATTTCCAGCAGAGACATCAGCAGTTTGTTTGCAATTTACAGAAGAAGAATTAGATTGTTAATGTGAACAGCAAGTACAGCAGCGCCACCTACACAAATCAGCTGATCTCCAGCGGTGTAAATATAAAAACACCTCAGGGTTTCCAAAATGTGGGGGGAAAAAAGAAACATGTATTTATAACCTTTATATCTGTCATCAAGTCATGACTGTCTTTGTTGTCTCCACCCTTCAGGAAGCTATAAACGAGATGAATGACGAGCTGCAGGAGAACGCCCGAGAGACGGAGCTGGAGTTGAGGGAGATGTTGGATCTGGGTGCAGCCAGAGTCCGAGAGGCAGAGAAACGTGTCGAAGCTGCGCAGGAGACCGTCGCTGATTACCAGCAGACCATCAAGAAATACCGTGAGCTCACGGCCCACCTGCAGGTACAGACTTTAGTGGTATTTAACACAGAGTGTGATCACATTAGATGTTTACTGTCTACTGACCGTCTGTGTCTGTGTCTGTGTTTGTGTTTGGTGCAGGAGGTGAACAAAGAGCTGACCAGCCAGCAGGAAGCCTCAGCAGAGCTGCAGCAGCAGCCGCCCGCAGAGATGTTTGATTTCAAGATTAAGTTTGCAGAGACGAAGGCCTACGCCAAGGTCAGAGACATCAAGAGCGCTGTGGTCTGAATAAAGAGCAGCTCAGTGGTGTGATAATGTTAGATGTGATTCAGGATCAGCCTCAACGTCCTTTTTCACCTCGCTTTTGGTTTCCTTTGAAAAGTTGAAGTTTTAAAGGCCCCACATTATTCTGCTCATTTTCAGTTTTATATTTGTTTTTTTTACTAGAAGATGTTTACACGCTGAAATGGTCAGAAAACACTTTATTTTCCTCAAACAGTCTGTGCTGGAGCACCTGTGCTCACCCTTTGCCTGAGATGATCCGTTTAGCGCCTGTCTCTTTAAGAGCCCCTCCTGAAAAGCCCAGTCTGCTCTGATTGGTCAGCATCTTCAGGTCTTTTACATCTGTGCTCTCTGCATCTGCATCACTGTGGCCAGAGAATGACTGTAACAGCACTGTAGCGGCAGTTTCTACCTTTATATCGAGTAGTTGTGACATCACAACCTCACAGAAGTCCTGACGGCTTGTTGAAAGGCAAAGGTTTCCTGAATCTGGATCATGCACATTTCTCTGTGGGCTGAGCTGTTTGATACTATCACAGTATTTTAAGCTCATCTATACCTGATTTATATCAAAGAAACATGTTGAAATCTGACTTTTTACAATTTTGCACTTCAGCTAGATTTAACTTTTTCAAGAGTTTTAAAGCTGGAGTGTTGGACTTTTGTCTTCCCTCTGAAAGTAATTACACAAACACTGTGGACGTGTGCTTATGGTGTACACCTGCAGGTGAGCTCGGCACATCTCCCAAGATGTGATGATCCCTCAATTATTTTTTTTCAACTTCAATCTGCTAAACGCTGAGTTTCCTTTTTATTTGGAGCATCCACCCCAGAAACTTTTCTTGGATGCTTCTTAGAATTTTCTGCCACAACTTCCTTAATACTCCTACTTGTTGCTCCTTTGCTGTGTCTCACTCCACATCTTTGCCTCTTAAGCTCTGACTGGTTGATGTAAACACATCACCTCCCTGAGTCGGTGCAGGAAAGTCGCCACAGACAAAACATCGGTACATTGTGAAATACAGAGAGCCTTACCCGTGGACGATAGGCTTAATCATCATATGTGAACTTATTTTGTTTAAATATATGAGCGTTCATTTATATGAGAAGTTTCGGTCTCCAGCTTTAAACTGTCAGATGTAGAATACAGATGAGCTCTGAGGGTCTAAGTTGTGTTTGTGTTTTGTGTCCAGGCCATTGAGATGGAGCTGAGGAAGATGGAGGTGGGTCAGGCCAACAGACACGTCTCTCTGCTGACCTCCTTCATGCCAGAGTCCTTCCTTCGTCATGGCGGAGACCACGACTGCATCCTGGTGCTGCTGCTCATCCCCAGACTCATCTGCAAGGTAAACAGCACACAGCTTTAACCACGCCATTAAAGGTCCTACTTGAGTTCACTAAAAATAATCCAGACAGACCCGATCACAAAGGAGAAAATGTCAGACTGAAGCATTTATAAAGTTTGACACAGTGTTTTTTTCACTGTATCTCTGCATGATGTTTAACGTTCAGTTTCTGTGTTGGTCCACAGGCGGAGCTGATCAGCAAACAGGCCCAGGAGAAGTTCGACCTGAATGAGACCTGTGTGGAGCGAGCGGGGCTGAAGGGAGCCGTCGGGGAGCAGCTGAGCTTCGCTGGCGGTTTGGTCTACTCGCTCAGTCTGCTGCAGGCCACGCTGCATAAATATGAGCAGTAGGTTTCACCTCAATCAGCCATAAGACAGCAGGAGAGTCTGAGCGCTGAGAGACGACTGACAAACTTATCTCAGCTTAATTTGCACTCTGTGTTTTATCTAAATCTGTAAACTCAGTCGTCTCTTTTGGGGAAACTCCTCTGCTTCTGTTGGTTTGTGTGATTTCGCACTTTTATATTTCACAGTGCTTCTGCAGCTAATTTTATACTTTTTTCTGCCTTGAGTTTTAATGAAAAACAAAATGACTCCATTGGATCGAATTTCGGGTGCTACGCTGTGTCAAGTACTGGGTCGACACACACAAACAAATCTCCCTTGTGTGTGTGTGTGTGTGTGTGTGTGTCAGGGCTCTGGCTCAGTGCAGTGTGGACGTCTATAAGAAGATTGGCTCTCTGTACCCTGAGATGAGCGTGCACGAACGTTCTCTGGATTTCCTCATCGACTTGCTGCACAAAGACCAGCTGGACGAGACGGTCAACGTGGAGCCGCTCACCAAGGCCATTAAATACTATCAGGTACACACAAAGACCAGGGGCCTGTCTCAGGAAGCAGGATTAATGTCTTAGCGAGGTAACTTTAGGGTTAACCCTGGGTTTTCGGTCTCACGAAGCCGGTTCAGTTCTTATCGGGGTAGATCACCATGGTAACTTACTCTGAACGGCTATCCTGCTCCGGAGCAGGGTAAGTTCAGGGTTGAATCTGATCCTATAAAAAGTACCACCCAAATGACTCAGCTGACAGAAATGCAGCCCAGTCATGACGGGAAGTTTAATTAATTTGATTGATTTTGATTTGAAAGTTTATTTTGAACATTAAAAAAGAAAAGAAAGCAACAACAACAGACAATGAAAAGATTGTTCAAAAAGGAGTGGAAAGAAGTGGAACTTTCATCCCACCCCTTCATAAGAAAGAAACTGATCATTTGCGGACACTTAATAGCACCATTAATTAGTGCCAACATTTTGTTTTGTTGGAGGAAATGATCCCTGTTAAAGATAACGGGCCTAATTGACAGCTTTGCTGCTGGAAATGTGGAAAGTAGCCTATCATGTCTACACTTCATGGTGTTTGAGGGATTTTCCTTTTTGTTTTTTAAAGAGGGAGACTAGCTATATTTTTGTGCAGCTGTTAATTTCTAACACAGCTCAATATCAGGATGATTTTATTCAGACTATCACTTTGGTGTTGATATGATTTAATTGTGGCGTCAGCTTTAAGCTTTATTGTAGCATATATAACGTTATGACAAAGAAGACCAATTTATCAGACGCAATGATGTTAAACGATAATTGTAATACACGCAATTCATCTGCGCAGCATTGATTTCATGGGATTCAAGGGTGTGATCAGTGTCAGATGTACAGGTACAGGTACTGTAGCTACTTGAACCAGTGATGAGTCATTTAACCTACACATCATTTTATTTGCTGCCTTGTTTTGTCTTGATTTTTCCCTCTCTCCTCCTCTATTTCTTCTTTCCTCACCCGTTTCTTTTTCTTCTCTATCATGTGATTTCATTGATGTTTTGACAGGGGAATTTCTTTGATAAGCTTTTAGTGGCTTCTAACCTCTCCGGCACTTTTCTTTTTTTAATCTTGTAAATGTTATACAGTCTGTTTTTAACATTATGTGCAAATAAACTAATCTAAACTAAAACTAAACATTATTCATCCCGTTATGCGTTGCCACGCATGTTTCCTCCTCCTGCAGCTGCCACGGTGTTGCCCTTTTCTCTAATGTTGCTTTTCTCCTCCTCATATTTTAGTAGAATTAATCTCTGATCCTCACGAGAAATACTTTTTTCCCTCACATACGGCGCTCTGTGAGGACGCTCAGTGATGCTCAGTGACGCTGCGCTTCTCTCATGATTGTGATTGGTCCGCTGCGTGCGCATTCACGGCTCTTGATAAAGAAACCCTGGGTTGAGTTACCGAGTTGATATCCAGCGTCATGATACCGATTATCCTGGGGCCTGTATCACGAAGCGACATCAACCTTTCCTGGGTTACCCAGACCTATCCTGGGTTGACTAACCCTAACAGTGGCAATCAGGATAATCGGTATCACGACGCTGGATATCAACTCGGGAAAAAAAGTATTTCTCGTGAGGATCAGAGATTAATTCTACTAAAATATGAGGAGGAGAAAAGCAACATTAGAGAAAAGGCCAACACCGTGGCAGCTGCAGGAGGAGGAAACATGCGTGGCAACGCATAACGGGATGAATAATGTTTAGTTTTAGTTTAGATTAGTTTATTTGCACATAATGTTAAAAACAGACTGTATAACATTTACAAGATTAAAAAAAGAAAAGTGCCGGAGAGGTTAGAAGCCACTAAAAGCTTATCAAAGAAATTCCCCTGTCAAAACATCAATGAAATCTCATAATAGAGAAGAAGAGAAACGGGTGAGGAAAGAAGAAATAGAGGAGGAGAGAGGGAAAAATCAAGACAAAACAAGGCAGCAAATAAAATGATGTGAAGGTTAAATGACTCATCACTGGTTCAAGTAGCTACAGTACCTGTACCTGTACATCTGACACTGATCACACCCTTGAATCCCATGAAATCAATGCTGCGCAGATGAATTGCGTGTATTACAATTATCGTATAACATCATTGCGTCTGATAAATTGGTCTTCTTTGTCATAACGTTATATATGCTACAATAAAGCTTAAAGCTGACGACACAATTAAATCATATCAACACCAAAGTGATAGTCTGAATAAAATCATCCTGATATTGAGCTGTGTTAGAAATTAACAGCTGCACAAAAATATAGCTAGTGTCCCTCTTTAAAAAACAAAAAGGAAAATCCCTCAAACACCATGAAGTGTAGACATGATAGGCTACTTTCCACATTTCCAGCAGCAAAGCTGTCAATTAGGCCCATTATCTTTAACAGGGATCATTTCCTCCAACAAAACAAAATGTTGGCACTAATTAATGGTGCTATTAAGTGTCCGCAAATGATCAGTTTCTTTCTTATGAAGGGGTGGGATGAAAGTTCCACTTCTTTCCACTCCTTTTTGAACAATCTTTTCATTGTCTGTTGTTGTTGCTTTCTTTTCTTTAATGTTCAAAATAAACTTTCAAATCAAAATCAATCAAATTAATTAAACTTCCCGTCATGACTGGGCTGCATTTCTGTCAGCTGAGTCTTTTTTTCCGAACAGCTGATTGGCCAGTGGGTAGTGCTTTTTATAGGATCAGATTCAACCCTGAACTTACCCTGCTCCGGAGCAGGATAGCCGTTCAGAGTAAGTTACCATGGTGATCTACACCGATAAGAACTGAACCGGCTTAGTGAGACCGAAAACCCAGAGTTAACCCTGAAGTTACCTCGCTAAGACATTAATCCTGCTTCGTGATACAGGCCCCTGATTGCCATTGTTAGGGTTAGTCAACCCAGGATAGGTCTGGGTAACCCAGGAAAGGTTGATGTCGCTTCGTGATACAGGCCCCAGGAGCCATCGAAGCTCTTACAACAACGTTTTGAGGGACTTTTTTAGCTTCTATTTCAGAGTAGATGATCTCCCAGGAGAAGAGGAAAAGGAACCGAATAGTATGGGGATATGTTGAACACAGCTAAAGCAGCATTGGCAACTGCCATTTTTTTAAAAACCTGTTTGCTGTGTAAACAACACAAAACACAAACAGCTCGTAAAGAAAATGTGGAACAAAACGCAGTTAAGTCCAGGATTTACTGAGCAGATATCAGATGAAGACACCCACTGATGATTGCTTCAGTTAAATCTGACGTAGCAACAAATTAAAAAAGGTTTTATCTCGATGGTATTTAGTTTCACGTCTCCATGTAGTTTCATTGGATACCAGTATCTTTACTCTAGATTAAACACTCAGCTCAGTGTCAGAGGAGGACGCTGGTGCCCTGGCAGAGTGAAAAAGGTTTAAGAGCAGTCATGACTAATTTCATATAAAACCATTTCCTTTGTTCAAAAGATATGTTATTCAGCCTGTATCAAACCAACAAATAATACTGTGTGTGAATTCATATTAATCTACAAAATGACGGCTACAGTACGTTCTCTGTGTTTCATAATATGTGTGTCTCTTCTCAGCACCTGTACAGCATCCACCTGGCAGATCAGAACGAGGACTGCACCATGCAGCTGGCTGATCACATCAGAGTGAGTAATGACATCACCATCAGGCTGTGAGGAGTCCCAACAAAGTTTAAACACAGAACCAAACCTCACTTCATCCATTAAAACAAAGGAACCAGTTCACTTTAAACCATCTCACACGTTTTTATCAGCTCAGGTTTATGAACATTACAGCTGTGTATCTAAACAGATGTGTCTCCTACCTGTGTTGTCCACGTACAGTTTACCCAGAGTGCCTTGGACTGTATGGCGGTGGAGGTCGGTCGTCTGCGGGCGTTCCTGCACGCCGGTCAGGAGAAGGCCAACCTCGCCGTGCTGCTGAAGGACCTGGAGACGTCCTGCAGCGACATCCGACAGTTCTGCAAGAAGATTCGCCGCAGGATGCCAGGAACCGACGCGCCGGGCATCCCGGCAGCCCTCAACTTCGGACAGCAGGTAACCACGGCAACCAGAACTCATAACTTTCCATTTGGCTGCTGATTTTGGTTCAAGTTGTATCATCTCAGCTACAATTCTGTGTTCACATGAGTTTATGAAGATGAAGAAGATTACCGACTCGGTTCATAGACACATTTATACATTTGTCATGATAACTGAAGTCGTGTTGACCTTCGCCCCGTAGGTGTCCGACACCCTCTCAGACTGCAGGAAGCACCTGACCTGGGTGGTGGCGGTGCTGCAGGAAGTGGCAGCAGCTGGAGCTCAGATGATGTCACCTCTCGGAGAACAGGAGGGGCTGTCAGCGGTCAAACTGGAGGACGTGGCGTTCAAGGCAGGAGAGCAGGTAAACACGCTGATACTTCAGTTTATCTGTTCTGCAACAAGACACCTCTGACTGATCTGGTTATTAATATACACTCATTATTATCATTTTCAGATTTATGGCTCTCAGGGCGCCAACCCCTACGAGTGTCTGCGGCAGTCCTGTGGCATCGTCATAGCAACCATGAACAAGATGGCCACTGCCATGCAGGAGGGAGAATACGACTCAGAGAGGCCTCAGAACAAGGTGACTCAGCCTGACATAATGTCTTCTTCTCGGCTGCTGCAGGTTTTGTTCGTGATGTCAGGATTACATTTTTCAGTTCTGAAATTACTCTGTTGTTACCATCCGTCAGAACCCTCCACCTGTGGATCTGCGAGCGGCCGCTCTTCGGGCTGAAATCACCGACGCTGAAGGTCTCGGCCTGAAGCTGGAGGACAGAGAGACGGTCATCAAAGAGCTGAAGAAGTCTCTCAAGATCAAAGTACGTGAACACACCGACCTGCTGAAACTTTACTCAGATACAAGCAGATAAGATGTCAAGAGTTTTAGTTCAGTTTAAAGGGACAGTTCACCCCAAAATCAGAAAGACATATTCTTCCTCTTACCTGTGGTGCGATATCTCCAACACTCTGCAACTTGAACCAAAACTATCTAGAGTGATAAACAGCGCTACAGGTAAGAGAAGGAATATGTATTTTTGACTTTTGGGTGAGCTGTTCCTTTAAAGACAGACTGTAACGTTTCCTGGCCTCCAGTCGACCAAACGATAAACAGTCATTAAAATAACTGGCTGATGAATCAACAATGTGTTTTCAGGGAGAGGAGCTGAGTGAGGCCAACGTGCGTCTCAGTCTGCTGGAGAAGAAGCTGGACAGTTCGTCCAAAGACGCAGACGAACGTGTCGAGAAGATTCAGACTCGCCTGGACGAGGCGCAGACGCTGCTGAAGAAGAAGGAGAAGTAAGAAAAAACGACCTCTGAGTGCAGAGTCAGACAGGAAGTCATGTTCTGCATCTGACGTCTACAGCTGAGCGATGTTGTCCTCCTCTCTGCAGGGAGTTCGAGGAGACGATGGACGCTCTGCAGGCCGACATCGACCAGCTGGAGTCGGAGAAGGCCGAGCTGAAGCAGCGAATCAACAGCCAGTCAAAGATGACCATCGACGGACTGAGAGGAACCGGGCCGTCAGGAATCGCCTCCATCATCACGGGAATGGCTGGAGGTGAGTGCCACAACATGACCAACAGAGGCCACATCACAACATGTGTGTCTGAATATTTCTCATCATTATAACTCCAGCTGCTTCTGACACAAACACCCGATGACCTCCTCTGTGTCTCTACTCTTCTCTCTTTATATGACTTTTTCTTTTCTTCTGCAGAGGAACAAAAAGGTATCAGCCTGCCTGTGGTGACGTGTGTTGTTGATCCTGCATGAAGATTTATGTTGATGAAAATGATCAAACTGTGCATGATGTGACGACAGTTACCTGCATGATTTATTTGTGTGGGGATTCTGCAGGTCTTGGAAAGTCTTAAAAAACACTGAATTCAGTTCCCTTAAAAAAAAAAGGCATCAGAAAGTTTAGAAATCTTGAATTTATTTACAGAATCAGTTTATTTATCAGAGTCAGTGTAGAAAACATTGTAACAGGGTACAGATTTAATGTTTATTGGATTTCAAGGCTGATTTGTGACCTCTGTCCCAGGTTCAGCTCTTCTGCTTAAAAAATGCAAAAGTTCTAACATCTCATCATAAACTGTGATCACATTAAATTCACCACATTATAAATAGTGACAGTCTCATACATGCGACATAATCATATAAAAATAACAGTATTTATAATCACATTATGATCATTTGACACATGTTACATATTCGTATGTGGTCACGTACAGTTTGTGTAAGTGCATAATTTTGGGGCGTCCGTTATAAAAAGTGTTTTTATCTGGTTGTCAGCTCTCAGGAGACGCTGCACACTTAAAAACTAAAACTGGGATTATCCTGCAGCAAACACTGACACTAAGGAATTATTTCAAAAAAGAATAAATTCAGAACAGGATTAGAATTTAATGTTCTGAATATAAGTAAATATTTCTAGAGCAGCAGCAGCAGCAGTAATGTTTACAACATCAAAGTCACGATATAAACTCATATAATTTCACTGGAAAAGAATCCAAAATGTCCACAACATAAATCATATTTCTGACATCACGGTGAAACAGGTACTAAAATGTATTTTAGGGAGGGAACCCTTCAGAAACCCTGCTATGAAACCATTCATTCTGACATTGGTTTTATCTGTGTATTATTATTTCTATCATCGTAACTGTTTTTCTCATAAATCTGCATTTTCTGGCATGCACCTGAACATCATCTCCTCACATGGTCTTCATCCATATTTAGCAACTGTGCTCAGGATGTGAGGACCAATATCAAGTTGTCCAGTTAAACATTATTTTATTACTTTATGACAAATATGTGAAAATGCTGAAATAAGTGATCATCACATCAGAGAGGAGACAAACTGAACTGTGACAGTTCGACCACCTCTGAAGTTTCAAAGGAAATAACTGGTGGAAAAAGTATTCAGAGTCTTTACTTCAGTAAAAGTTTCAGTTCTACATGTTGAAAACACTCCGTCACAAGTCCTGCCTTCAGAATCTGACTTCAGCATTATTTAGATAGGTAGAGTATAAATGGAGGAAGCTGTACTCAGTGAGAGTTTGCTGAATGCACATGTATAATAAATGCTGCGTGTATATAAATGAAGGTTTGGGTTCAGTCAGGTGTTCATAACGTGTCCCTGCTCTGTGCTCCTGCAGCGAACATGATGTCAGGCGTCGGGTCAGGTTCAGGTGTCCAGGTGATCGACTCTCCTCTGCTGACTCAGCAGATTGAAGCTCAGAGACTCTGCATCAAACACCTGAAGAACGACAACAACAGACTGAAGGTATGAAGTGTAGCTGCACCGTCTCAACACCTCACTACAAATACAGACACTTTTCTTTATTTCATGATGACGCCTTTAGAGATGTACAGAGAATATGTCTCATAGTCACATAGTCCATAAATGTTTTTTCAGTAGCCTCCATGTCATGTGACCCTGTGACTGTAAATAAATAAAGTAACAAAAAAATATATAAATATTCAAGAGATGCTTAAAAGCAGCCAGTTCTTCTTATACAAACTTAAAGCTTTTATTGTATTAGTGTTGAATCATTTTCTTATTTAACATGATTTGTATTAATTCTATAATATCGTTTAACTAACCTGTTTTTCTGATTATCAAAGCTGAGACAGGCCAATAGATAATGACACCTTCATCTCTAAAGTCTTTGGACACATAAATATCTTATGAATGTGGCAGATTGTGACGACCACACATGCCAAACCTGAGGATATAATCAAGTTTTAAATTTACATGAAATTAAATATACTCTGGACTCATATTCATACTATTATGCCATAAATACAGCTAGCTACATTTGTGAAGAAGATCTTTGACCTTAGATATTCAGTCTGACTGACAATGATCAGAGGAACTGACTCAGACTGGAGGCTTTGTCTTTAAACCTTCCACCAACATGAGTGTTGTTAAACATTTACTATTTGTTAATCACCGATGATCCATGTTGCTTCTGTTACATCTGGATTTTTCGTGTGTCCACGTTTCTCCTCTCAGGCTGAGAAGATGCGCGCTCAGCTCGCCTCTCTGCCTCCTCTTCATGTGACCAAACTTCCCTCCAGAGACGGAGGTCGTCCTGAAGTGCTCTCCAGCGCCCTCTACCGCAAGACCGACCAGCTCCTAGAGACTCTGCTGCAAATGAGTGCCAACGTCAAGGTGGTGGACATCACTGGGAAATCTCCAGGTACGTTATTGTCGTCTACAGTAAGTGTGTTCATGTCTGCGGTGTCTGTCTTCAGACTCCCACTTTGTTCCCTTAGTTTACAGTTTCAGTTTAATTTACCTTTGAAATTAATCCAGATTAGATAAAAAAGAAGAATTGGTAAAATGTTAATGTGTTCAAGTACGTTCTGGAGACAGAGACAGACTCACAGACAAACATTTTGTGCAGCCCCTCAGCAGGACATGAAATGCTTGCATTGTATTTTAACCATTCACAGTCCATTTCAATACTTTTACATTCAATAGCTTACAATATTTTACTCAACCATGTGTCAAACTACGTCCCCCTAATAAGCATCGCTCAGGTTAGGACCGACAACTTCTGGAGAGCTGCTGGTTGCATGGCAACTAGTGACATCTCAAGAGTGTCACCTAATATTACAAGCTGCCATCAATGCTTGTGGTATTAGCTAGGGTTAGCAGTTTTGGTGGACAAATCACAAGTTAAATGTGGAATTGAAATGTAAAAGTATGTTTAATTCATAAAAAATAAAAAATGTCATAGTACAGTATCTCATTACATCACACAAAATGTCATTGCATAATATGTCATGTTAAAAAAATGAAATAAAAAATGCTGAAGTATACTATGTCAAAAAATTATAAAAATGTGTTAAATTTTTCTGAAAATGTCAGAGTATATTATGTTATAAAAATTTATAAAATATTACCATAGTATACCGTGTAAAACAACTCTTAAAAAATCATGGATAGGATTTTAAAAACATAAAAATGTCATAGTGTAGTACGTTGTCAAACATCATGAAAAAATCATAGTACAGAATTTTTTCATTATTTTGGACGACATGCTATACTATGACTTTTTTTCATGATTTTGGACGACATACTGTACTATGACTTTTTTATGTGATTTCGGATGACAAAAAAGTCATAGTATAGTATGTCGTCCAAAATCATGAAAAAAAAGTCATAGTATAGCATGTCGTCCAAAATCACGTAAAAAAGTCATAGTATAGTATGTTGTCCAAAATCTATTGAAAAAAGTCATAGTATGGTATGTCGTCCAAAACCATGAAAAAAACAGTCATAATATAGTATGTGGTCCGAAATCACCTAACAAAAAGTCATAGTATAGTATGTCGTCCAAAATCATGAAACAACATCATAATACAGTATGTGGTCCAAAATCACGTAAAAAAAAAAAAAAGTCATAGTATAGCATGTCGTCCAAAAATCATGAAAAAAGTCATTGTATAGCATATCATCCAAAATCACATAAAAAATCATAATATAGTATGTCGTCCAAAATCAAGTAAAAAAATGTCATAGTATAGCATATCGTCCAAAATCATGAAGAAAAGTCATAGTATAGCATGTCATCTGAAATCACATAAAAGTCATAATATAGTATGTCGTCCAAAATCATGAAAAAAGTCTTAGTATAGCATGTCGTCCGAAATCACATAAAAAAGTCATAATATAGTATGTCGTCCAAAATCATGAAGAAAAGTCATAGTATAGCATGTCATCCAAAATCACGTAAAAAAAAGTCATAGTATAGCATGTCGTCCAAAATCTAATGAAAAAAAGTCATAGTATAGCATGTCGTCCAAAATCATGGAAAAAAGTCTTAGTATAGCACGTCATCCGAAATCACATAAAAAAGTCATAATATAGTATGTCATCCAAAATCAAGTAAAAAAATGTCATAGTATAGCATGTCATCCAAAATCACGTAAAAAAAAGTCATAGTATAGCATGTCGTCCAAAATCTAATGAAAAAAAAGTCATAGTATAGCATGTCGTCCAAAATCTAATGAAAAAAAAGTCATAGTATAGTATGTCGTCCAAAATCATGAAAAAAAGTCATAGTATAGCATGTCATCCAAAATCTAATGAAAAAAAGTCATAGTATAGCATGTCGTCCAAAATCATGAAAAAAAGTCATAGTATAGCATGTCGTCCAAAATCGAATGAAAAAAAGTCATAGTACAGCATGTCGTCCAAAATCGAATGAAAAAAAGTCATAGTACAGCATGTCGTCCAAAATCGAATGAAAAAAAGTCATAGTATAGCATGTCGTCCAAAATCGAATGAAAAAAAGTCATAGTATAGCATGTCGTCCAAAATCGAATGAAAAAAAGTCATAGTATAGCATGTCGTCCAAAATCGAATGAAAAAAAGTCATAGTATAGCATGTCGTCCAAAATCGAATGAAAAAAAGTCATAGTATAGCATGTCGTCCAAAATCGAATGAAAAAAAGTCATAGTATAGCATGTCGTCCAAAATCGAATGAAAAAAAGTCATAGTATAGCATGTCGTCCAAAATCGAATGAAAAAAAGTCATAGTATAGCATGTCGTCCAAAATCGAATGAAAAAAAGTCATAGTATAGCATGTCGTCCAAAATCGAATGAAAAAAAGTCATAGTATAGCATGTCGTCCAAAATCGAATGAAAAAAAGTCATAGTATAGCATGTCGTCCAAAATCGAATGAAAAAAAGTCATAGTATAGCATGTCGTCCAAAATCGAATGAAAAAAAGTCATAGTATAGCATGTCGTCCAAAATCGAATGAAAAAAAGTCATAGTATAGCATGTCGTCCAAAATCGAATGAAAAAAAGTCATAGTATAGCATGTCGTCCAAAATCGAATGAAAAAAAGTCATAGTATAGCATGTCGTCCAAAATCGAATGAAAAAAAGTCATAGTATAGCATGTCGTCCAAAATCGAATGAAAAAAAGTCATAGTACAGCATGTCGTCCAAAATCGAATGAAAAAAAGTCATAGTACAGCATGTCGTCCAAAATCGAATGAAAAAAAGTCATAGTATAGCATGTCGTCCAAAATCGAATGAAAAAAAGTCATAGTATAGCATGTCGTCCAAAATCGAATGAAAAAAAGTCATAGTATAGCATGTCGTCCAAAATCGAATGAAAAAAAGTCATAGTATAGCATGTCGTCCAAAATCGAATGAAAAAAAGTCATAGTATAGCATGTCGTCCAAAATCGAATGAAAAAAAGTCATAGTATAGCATGTCGTCCAAAATCGAATGAAAAAAAGTCATAGTATAGCATGTCGTCCAAAATCGAATGAAAAAAAGTCATAGTATAGCATGTCGTCCAAAATCGAATGAAAAAAAGTCATAGTATAGCATGTCGTCCAAAATCGAATGAAAAAAAGTCATAGTATAGCATGTCGTCCAAAATCGAATGAAAAAAAGTCATAGTATAGCATGTCGTCCAAAATCGAATGAAAAAAAGTCATAGTATAGCATGTCGTCCAAAATCGAATGAAAAAAAGTCATAGTATAGCATGTCGTCCAAAATCGAATGAAAAAAAGTCATAGTATAGCATGTCGTCCAAAATCGAATGAAAAAAAGTCATAGTATAGCATGTCGTCCAAAATCGAATGAAAAAAAGTCATAGTATAGCATGTCGTCCAAAATCGAATGAAAAAAAGTCATAGTATAGCATGTCGTCCAAAATCGAATGAAAAAAAGTCATAGTACAGCATGTCGTCCAAAATCGAATGAAAAAAAGTCATAGTACAGCATGTCGTCCAAAATCGAATGAAAAAAAGTCATAGTATAGCATGTCGTCCATAATCGAATGAAAAAAAGTCATAGTATAGCATGTCGTCCAAAATCGAATGAAAAAAAGTCATAGTATAGCATGTCGTCCATAATCGAATGAAAAAAAGTCATAGTATAGCATGTCGTCAATATATATGAAAAAGTCATAGTATAGCATGTCATGAAAAATGATTTCACAAAATATATAGAATGTCAAAAAAATGAGTCATAAAAAAATCACAAGAATGTGAAAGTATAATGGATCATCAAAATGTTATTTAAAAAAATGCAAATACAAATGCAGTACAGCATAAAAGTCATTTAAAAGTCACTCCATAAATATTCAATAATACAGTATGTTAAAACAAATTAGTTGGCTTCAGAATGTGACTCTGGTCTCTCGTTGCTCTCAGTGTTCAGAGACAGAAATAGAAATAAAGCTAAAAACAAAAACAGCACAACTGAATAAAAGCAAACATTCAGTCAGTGACGGAAGATAAATAAACTGTGTGGATAAACAATACAACAACATACAGTGTATTGAAGTCAGACTGTAAACAATAGTACAGTAGTGCAGTGGTGCATAATGAAAACATTATGGAATAGATATTGAATGTAAAAGATACCTTTGCATGACAGAGGTGGATATGTACAGTTTATACATGTCTACATGTCAGTGAACACAACACAGCAGCATAGGTTTTTATTTGACAGTGGTATGTACATGTTCCAAAATCCAGTGTGTATTGAAATGATAAATAGAATATAGAGAGTTGTTTAACTGATGGTGTACAGTGCTCTGTAGCGCCCCCCAGAGGGGAGAAGTTTAAACAGGTCTGACTCAGACTCTGGAGTCCTGAATGAAGGGCAGGATGACACCAAACAGTTCTGACTGTCTGCTGTCGTCTGTTCCTGTCCCGTCTGGTGAGAGCAGACTGATTGACGTGTAGAATTGTATCACAGCTCCTGAAGCAGGTTGAACTTCCTGTGCAGGTGTAGAGAGTGTGTTTTTCCTGGTGGTGTTGATGTTGGAAGTCCACTGGAGGTCCTGGGAGATGATGGATCCCAGAGACCTGAAGGTTTCCACAGCAGACAGTGTTGTAGGGTGATGAAGGGGGGCAGTGTCTGCAGACTCCTCCTGCAGTCCTCTTTCATTTCATGTTCAGCTGGTTCAACCTCCCGTCCCAGATGTCTGTAAATTTAAGGAGATAAACACATTGGTCTTCTCTTAGTGTTGTATGTTGAAAGAAAAGCCAGATTTTAAAAAAACATTTAAAAATCTCTCTTTCGTTATTTTGATCAACATGCTATACTATGACTTTTTTTCATGATTTTGGATGACATGCTATACTATGACTTTTTTTCATGATTTTGGACGACATGCTATACTATGACTTTTTTTCATGATTTTG